TTAACCACTTCCTTTGAGTTCTGAGAGAGCTGCTCAGAATTTGTCTTCTGATATCTGGCTCTTCAAAGTGTGGTCCAAGGCCCAGCAGTATGAGCACCATCCAGGAGTTTGTTAGAAATGCAATTTCTTGGGCCCCATCCCAGGCCTACTGAATCAGAATCTGCATTTAAAAAAAATATTTTATTTATTAATTTGAGAGAGAGAGAACACAGAAGGAGAGGGAGAAGCAGTCCTGCTGAGCAGAGAGCCCGACGTGGGACTTGATCCCAGGACCCTGAGAGATCTTGAACCGAGCTGAAGGCAGACACTTAACTGACTGAGCCACCCAGGTGTCCCCAGGATCTGCATTTTAACAAGATACCAGATGATTCGCAGGCCCATTAAAATTTGAGAAGTGCTAAAAATTCTAGCCAGAGGGAATGCTTTCCAGGTTTTGGTGGTGATGCTGATTTTCCCCATTATTATAGGAGTTTGATTATTTTAGTGTCAATTTGGAGGAGTTCAAGAAAAGGCTTTGGATTACCATGATGTAGATTTTGAATGTTGGTGTGTTGGTGTTGGTGGGGTGAGGCCTGGAGCCGATGGCCAAGAAAGAATTCTTGAGATGTCTTCGGTGCAAAAAGGTGGTTTTATTAAAGCACTGGGACAAGACCTATGCTCAGAAGGAGCTGCTGCCCCGAGATTGTGAGGGGCAACTGATTATATACTTTGGGGTTGGGGGAAGTAAAGATATGGGAAGTTTCAAAAGGATTTTCATCTGCTAAAGAAGACTCACAGGATGCCAGAGGCCCTGCTATTGTCAAACCAAGGTTGTTTTCCCTCTAGCAAGCCATTAACATTAAGACAGTTGGGAGCTTCCTGGAGGAACATTATATTCTGCCTGCCTCAAGTATTTGTCAATGGGCTGCAGGTTATAAGGACATTTAATTTTATCTACATTTCCTTCTGCCTTTATTTCCCACATCAATCATGTGGGACCAGAACCCACAGGCTCTTTGTGACACGATATGGGGGAGGGGGGCAGTCGGCTGCTGTGTATGAAGCCAGGACATGAAAACGACATCCCAAAGGTCATCAAAATCACCACCAGGCATCATTAGACCAACAAGAAAGAATCCTTCTGTTGCATTTCTGAAGAGCAGTGTGTATCCCCCAGAAGGCTTTGCCCACACTCTTTTCTTTAACAAATTAAAAATGCCAACTGGCATCCACAGGAAAACCTCTCATCCTGAGCTGATAGAAGGGAATGAAGGGGTTCTGGCCTACTGGTTTGGTGTCAGGCACACATTTTCCTCTTCTTGGTAACTAGAAGAAACTTCTGAAGTCATTGAGGAAATCAAGTTCTGCAGGGCCCCAGCATTGTGCCTGAGGGCTGCCTGGTTGGGGTGGGGGTGGGGCGGCGTATTCACAGACTTGAATTATGGGAGTATTAGCACAAGGAGAGACAAATTCTTTTAAGGAAAAAATTAATTGAATAATGCTCAGTTCTCATCAGTCATGGCAGAATAGGCAGGAAAAGCCTGGGGGAGGCATAGAAAGCTATTGAAATGATTCTAAAGAGAACTAGAATCTTTAGGACAAAGTGGCTCATTCTTTATTACTATCAAACCCTTCATTCCCTGGAGATGTTGAAACAATACCCGCGCATAACTCTCATTATGGAATTGACAAACATCCTACCTCTCTTAATGGTTTCATGGAGTTATTGTCTCAACAGGAAGTTCTGGTCATTGTCCCACATTCTTCTTGTTTATTATTAGTAATAATAACCCTTTGCATCACAATTGGGCTCTAAACCTTACAAGGCTTTTCCACACAAAGTAGGTCATTTGGTCTTTCCTGAGAATCCCGTGAGACAGTAGAGCGAGCAGCCCTTAATGTGCCCATTTCACCAAGGAGGGGACTGAGGGTTGGAGGAATCACAGGACTTTACAGTTTGTAGTAAATGGGAGCCACAGGCCTCAGACTCACATTCACTGACCACGGAGGTCTCCAAGACACATCTGGCTAAGTGTCTTTGATCCTCAAGCCTCCTAGTCCACCCAGAGATTTTGCCTGGGCCAATACATAACAAGTAAAGGATCACCACCCGTGTGTAAAGATCACTCTCCACAGTTTTACACTAAAACGCAATGTGGGACTTCAGTGAGGTTACATTCTTCAGATTTGATTCACATGGTCAGACATCTCTGGTTCTATGTACACTGTCTGTTTAGCTGTCCCCCACTACAACAGACCTTTGTTAAACTTCTGCTAAGGATCTACTAAGTGAGGTGTGATTCATTATAAATCAGCAGGAACTGGTTTTAAGTTATTTTTGACTTCCTAAATTTGATTCGTTTCACTCAATGGGGAGGGTGATGTCATCTTCTTTCTGCCTTTCTATATACTATGCTTCTACTCTTAACTTCCCAAATTTCCCTTAATGTTCTATTTATTCTCCTTGAATATGTTCTCTTTACCTAGAATATCCTTCCCTTCCTCACTTCCCCACCTTCTTCACCCTTCTTGTCCTTAATGGAACTCAGATTAAAAGCTTTTCCATTGTGAAGACTTTCAGACCCAAAGCTAGAAACTTACACTCCTAAAAGCACTTTGAATGTATCCCTGCCATGCTACGGATGTATCACAGTCTGAAATGTATTTCACTTAGCTCTCCATCTACTGGGATTTCAACTAGATTGGGAGCTACTTGGGGGGCAGGACTGACCTCTTAAACTTCTCTGTGTCCTCTGAGCTTGGAACCTGACAACTGATAGGAATTCACTAAGGGTCGATCTAAATTCCTCTACCTGATGGCTTTAGTGCATCAGGAATTCTTTTTAACCAGATATCACTTTAGTGTCTGCATTTTAGGTGATAGGAAAGTCCTAAAGGGGACTACTCAAGCAAAGTAAGAGTATTGTAGCTCCTCAAATTAAAACAGGAAGTACACTAAACTTCACTCATTGATTTATCTTAGATTCTGTTCCTTTATGTTTCCCAGATTAGAGTCATTTTAGAGTAGAGCTCCTTTATCGACATCTGCATTTTCTTTGGTACCAGAGCATTTTTTTCCGGTTCCTTCACAATTAGGGAATTATGGTCAATGTTCTCAACCTTCGCTGTGCGTTGGAATCACTAAAGGAGATTTAAATATACTGATGTGAAATTTTCATGGAGTCCTCTTATGTTTTTTGCTGAGTAGTAAGCTGTACATGCACAGAGTGAGACTCTGAGAAACCTATCAGGAAACAGCTCCTGGAGGGCACAAGCTCAACAGAGATTTTGGTAGACTCACAGTGCTGATGGATACTGGATTTCTGACTAGCTATATTAGAGAGCCCTCACTCAGTAGCCTAGACTGTCAGTTGAGACCCCAGGAAGTCTGTGCCTTTATCTCTTTAGAATAAAGTTAACTGCCTGCCAGACAAAACAAAACAAACAAAACAAAAGACATGACACCCTTTAAAAGAAGGTAACAATCCATACTGTCAATATAGTATCAACAGTGTCCAGCAAATACACAAAAATTACTGGAAACACAAAAAAGCAGGGAAATGCGCACCAAACTAGGAGAAAGAACAGTTAGATAAAACGGTCCAGAGATGATAAAATGATGGAATTAGTAGCTAAAAGCTTTACACAGCTATTATCAATATGTTCATAGATTTAAAAAAAGAGGAAGAGATGGACATAATAAGTGAACAGATAGGAGAATCTCAACAGAGAAATGGAAATGACAAAAGAGAACCAAACAGAAATTCTAGAACTAAAAAACCTAATATCTGGGGGAGCGGGTGGGGCAGGAAAAAAAACACAAAAAACAAAACAAAACAAAAACCTAATATCTGAAATGTTAAAAATTCACTGGAGTGGATAAAGCAGATTGGACACTGCAGAAGGAATTGGAAAAGGTAAATAAATATGTGGGCATGTTGAAGACTTTTTTCTCTGTACTTCAGCCACATGATTGAGGTCATCAACAGTCATAAGTCATGGTGACAGTATGTACCCTTGGTATGATGTGATGATGTGATGAGAATGACACACATGAGAATTACCTCTGTGGTCTTCCTTTCCAAAATCCTTAACTCCAGTCTAATATTGAGGAAAATTTCACATACTCATACTTCTCAGAACTTCTCAAAACTGTCCAGCTCATCACAGGCAAGGGGAGCCTAAGAAGACATAACTAGATGTGATGTGGTAGCATGGGTGGAATCCTGGAACAGAAGAAAGACGTTAGGAAAAAACTAAAGAAATCTCAGTAAAGAATGGACTTGAGTTAATAAAAAATGTACCAATAATGGTTTACTTACTGTAATAAATATACCATACCAATGTAAGATGTTAATAATAAGGGAAGCTGGGTGCAGGGTACATGAGACCTGTCTTTTGCTACCTTTGTAAATTTTCTGTAAATCTAAAACTGTTTCTAAAATAAAAAGGTTACTAAAAAACCTGACATAACAAGTGCTGGCATGGATGTGGAGCAACTGGAACTCTCTTCCATTGCTGGTGGAAGTGTAAAATGGAATACCTTGGAAAACAGTTTGCGAGTTTCTTATAAAGTTAAACAAATACTTGTGATATAACCCAGCAATTTCACTCCTAAGTACTTACCCAAGAGAAAGAAAAACATATATTGTCACAAAGACTTGTATGTGAATGTTTATGGAGGCTTTACTCAGAATCATCACAAACTGGAAACAACCAAAATCAACTGCTGAATGGAGCAATGAATTGTATTAATCTATACAATGGAATATAAGTAAGCAATGACAAAGGAATGCACTACTGATATATACAAAATATGGATGAATCTAAAAAGCATACACTAAGTAAAAGAAGCCAGACGGAAAGGAGTTCATACTGTATCATCCTGTTTATAGAATGATTCCAATTCTAGAATTCCAACATATATATATAATATATAGAACATTATATCTACATATATAGAACATATTCTATATATTTAATATAGAATTCCAATCCTGGAACAAGCAAAAATAATCCAAGGTAGGAAAATCAGAACAATGGTTGCATCTTGAGGTCTGAGGATGGGGATTGATTGGGAAGGGACAGGAGGGAATTTTCTGAGGTGATAGAAGTGTTTCATGTCTTGATAAGGGTATAAGCTACACAGGTCTATGCATTTTTTTTAAAGATTTTATTTATTTATTTGAGAGAGAGAACAAGCAATGGGGAGGGGCAGACGGGGAGGGAGGGAGAGAAAGAGAGAGAAGCAGACTCCCTGCTGAGCAGGGAGCCCAATGCGGGGCTCGATCCCGGGACCTGAAGATCATGACCTGAGCCGAAGGCAGGTGCTTAATTGACTGAGCCACCCAGGCGCCCCTATGCATTTGTTAAAATACATTAAGATGTAGCAAAATAAGTCAATCAGAGAAAGATAATTATCATATGATCTCACCGATATGAGGAATTTGAGAAACAAGACAGAGGATCATAGGGGAAGGGAGGGAAAAATGAAACAAGACAAAACCAGAGAAGGAGACAAACCATAAGAGACTCTTAATCTCAGGAAACAAAGAGGGTTGCTGGAGTGGATGGGGTGTGGGAGGGATGGGGTGGCTGGGTGATGGACATTGGGGAGGGTATGTGCTATGGTGAGCGCTGTGAATTGTGTAAGACTGATGAATCACAGACCTGTACCCCTGAAACAAATAATACATTATGTGTTAATAAAAAAATACATTAAGATGTATAGTTAGGTTCTATAAATTTCCGAGGTATGTCAAGTATATCTCATTTTTTTAAAGGTAAAAATGCTGATATCTGTGTCCGACCCCTAGAGATTCTGATTTTTATGGTTTTAGATGTAGGGTATTGGGTTTTTAAAAGCTCCCACAGCCAAGGTTAAAAAAACTACAGTTGTAGGTATTTGTCTGGTGATAAGATCCTTCGTCATTGCTGTTTGCCATGTAGATGCTTCTCTAGCTTTGTATGGACCCTGGAAGCTGGATGCATGGGATTACATGCCTGCTATTGATGGCTGGGTCTACCTGGGGTTGGCTTATTGGCAAACACCAAGATGCCAAAAGGCCCAAGAAGAAGATAGGAGCAGGATGGAGCCCCCAAAGAACCCCTCAAGCTTTCCACTTTCTTCTGCCTCTTCTGAGAGTGGGCTGCTTATTCGGGAGTGGATTGTTATGGTGGCAGGAGCATTGGAAGGGGACCAGTGGAGGCATCATTATGAGGTGGGGGGACTTCTTATTCCACATACAACTTTGGAAAATTGCCTCTCTCTCTTTAGTCAGCTGCTGTCACATAGACAACAAACTCCCACTGGATTCTGCAAAGCTGGCCTGGTCTCATCTTGATTTTGTCCTCTTGGTGACTTCAGACAGGCTGTAAAAAGGGAAAGAACAGGACATGTCCATGTGTTGAGCACATGCCAGACCCTCTGCTGGAACTTTGCTGCTGCTTTCCACTTCCAGGTTAACACTCTAACTACATACTTTTCTTGGTAGCAATTTTCCTTCTTTTGAAGCTGACAGGCAACCCATTAACATTTTTAGGACAAAAAAAAAAAAGCTTAAAACTCTATCCAACATTAATAAAACTGTGTAATAAAAACTGAAATGATAATTCATAACAGTTATTCCATGGATGCTCTTTGTCTGATATTTATTTCAGAACACATGGCCAAGATTTCTGAGAGGTCTCATTAATAACTAGAACTTTGACTAACAGTTTCATCTAGGGTACACCAATAAATAACAGCATAAACTTAGACACTTCCATCTGCAAGGAGCTTTGCAGAGCATCTAGCCCAACCCCCTCATACAGTGCCTGAGTAGCGGCTGCATGGCCCCTGGATTCTGCTTGCACATCTCCCAAACAGGGGGCCTTACAAGACAACCCATTATGTCTATGAGCTGGTCTGACACGATTTTTCCCAGTATGATGCCACATTTGATTCTCTTAGTCACAAAGAACATCAGATCCCTTTTCCCGTTTGCTGTCCACAAGCTTTTTCTGCCACAAGTTAAATGTCTCTAATTGCTCAAAACATGCCTCCTAGGATTTGGATTTGTCTGCACTCAACCAGCCTGCTTTCTCTCCCTCATGAGTCTTGGTCTAGTTCCATTCAAATCCAACACAATTCATTTGCATCCATGTTACTGGAACACCTTCTCAGTGTCAGTCACTAGACCAAGTGCTATGGGGAAGAGCAAGTCAGGACTCGCTTTGTGAAAGAGAGAAGCCTTGTCCCAAAAAGGCCTCCAAAGTGGCTTGTGGTATGGGGCAGGAGAGAGAGACGGCATCCTATTCCCCACCCCACCCCATCCCTGCCCCCAGTTCCCAGGCTCTCACCTTGCATTGTAGCACATTGGCTAAAATATACAGCTGTGCAAGCTCAGGGCATGGTTCGAGGAGGCTGCTCATCAAATGTTTGATGAAGGCATGCCAATTGACTAGGCCTCTGTAGTTCAAATTCTTGGGAGGGACAGTCTCATTGGCCCAGCTTGGATTGGAGCTCCATCAGCTGTCTGCAGAAGGGACTGGGTCGGTCACCTGGTATAAAAGGCTACATTTTCTGGGCTAGGGAGAAGGAAAATTCTATGAAACATGAGTGTGGTTGGGGAGGAAATGATAGGCATTCTTAGAGATATATTATGGATATAATCTCCATAACATATAATGTCCATAGGTATATATAAGCAGTATATAATATCCATAAGCATTAATCCTGAAAGATGGGTGTTTTCTCCATTTCATAGGTGGGGAAATGGATTCAGAGAGACTAAGTGACTTACCAAAGTTACTGCTTATTAATGGCAAAGTCATGGTTTGAATTCAGGGCTGCCACATTGCCTCTTGGTATTTCTTTAACAGTTCTTTCTGGAACTCATTTAGTCACTCACTTATCTGTTCATTTATTCATTCAACTAGAATTTTTCATGCACTGACCATGGGTCTGGCATTGTGTGAGGCCCCATGATTCAGCGATTAGCCACATAGGCCTGGAGGGACAGCCATCAAGAACATGAGAGACGGTTCTGGCTCTTTGGGTTTTACTGGAGAGATGAGACGTATAGACACCACAAGTTCAGGCATTGTTGCATGAAATGATGCCTGGAGTGAACCAAGATGGTCAGGGCTTCAGAGTAGGGAAAGAATGTCAGAGTAGAGAGATCTCTGAGAAGTAGAGTAGTTGAGGAAGCTTCCTGGAGGCAGAACTCTGATTAGTACCCAAGGATAGAGCGAGGAGAAGGAAGGAAGACACTGCAGTGGGCAGGGAGTTGTGCCGATTTTACTTCCTGAGTATTGTTCACTGACATCCACTTCTCTCCATCCCCTCCGGGCCCTCCTCTGGTCTGACTCAGTGGCACCCCTCCCCTGGACACAGCCTAAGCCTCTCCAGCAGATATGCCCTCCTTGTCTTGCTTTCCACCAATCTGTTGTCAATTTAACTGAAAAAACACTTCAAACACATAAAAAAAAGTACAGCAAATAATAAATTTTGATTCAATAGATAACATTTCACCATATTCACTTTAGCCCTGTCTTTTACAGAAACAGAACATTATCATCTCAGCTACATTCCCACCCTATCCCTTAACACTCCGTCACAGAGTAAACATTATCCTAAAGTGGATGTGATTTATTCCCACATGTGTTTTTCTACCTTTTCTACTGATGACCCACAAACCCTATGGTATTAGGTTCATGTTCTTTTGCAAGTTGCCTTTTTTTGCTCCACTGCTCATTGTATTTTCAGATTTGTCCTTGCTACATGAAGATCTAGTTCATTCACTTAACCATCGTGTAGATTCTGTTATAAGAATTTATCATTGTTTATAGAGTTGCTCCCCTACCAGATGCCTGGTTAGGTCATTTCTGTTTTCACTATTACAAATGGCATTGTGGTGAATATCCTCACACATGTCCCCCAAGAAACAGAGTTGCTCGGTCAAGAGTAAACAGATCTGCTACTTTACTAGGTATTGCAAATGGTTCTTTACAGGGTAGGGCAGGTTACACGTGCGTTTCTCAGTGTATCTGAGTATGGGCGTTCCAGTGGCTCCACATCCTCAAAGACGCTTACTATTATTAATCTTTTCTTTTTTCAATCAGGTCCCCCTTTGCCCGTGGCAGACAGGTGGATCTTTTTAGAATACGCTCCTGACCATGTCCCTTCCCTATTTAAAATTACCCCATTAGGCCCCATTGCTCTCCATATAATACCTAGAGTCTTACTCTGCATGAGTCAGTGCATGCCCACCTCTCCAGGCTCGCCTCTCTGTCCTCTTGTACTCCATCGTGCATGCACAGGCACACGCAGGCGTACCCCCCTCACACACACACACGCCCACATGCATGCGTATATTCTGTGGTCTGACCAAATCAAATCACATTCATGTCCCCTAACCTGCTCACCCTCTGTTGTCTTCAGGCCGTGGTAAAGCTGTTGCCTCTGCCTGGAATACTCTTACCCTCCTTCAGAGACCTGATTGCTACCAGCCCTCGGTTCCCAGCTTGATGTCTTCTCCTCTGGGAAGCCTCTGCAGGAACCCAAGGCCCGAGTTAGACACTTTTCATCCCATTGCCTCAGCACTCTCGCCTCTGACATCACAGTTCTCAGGACATTGTCTTGTAATCCCGTTTGTTGTCTCCCTGACGCACTAGATGGTGGACACCTTGATGGCAGGGCCTATGTCCTCTGTGCCCAGGCTGTCTAGTGAGTGAATTTGTTAGATAATCCATGGGCAGGAAACAGATCGGGATGGAGCAGAGGCAGCAAGATGGGAGTAGTTGAAATCAGACTGGAGAGAATGTACTACCCCATCCATCGCCTTCATAGCCTCAACTTCCATTAGGGAAACCGAGGCGTAGCTGGGTGACTTGTCTAGAGTCATGCTGCGGTTGATAAATGGCAGGGCTGGATTTGATTCCGTCTTCAGACTCCTTGTCTGGGCTTTCTCTGCTGCACTTCAGCTGCAGTGGATGCGAAGGAGCCAGCAGAGGGGGAGTGGGGTGGGGGGGCTGCCAGGGAGGAGAGGCTGTGCAGGAGAGGGCGGTCCTCGGATCTAGGACACAGGTGGAGGGCTGAGCCCAGTAGACATGACCCCAGATCCTCTGAGCCAGCGAGGAAGGAAGAACATTTGGCCAAGTTTCTAGAACAGACACTTGTCAGGCTGCCCTGGGAGCCAGCCCTCCTCTGGGGAGGAGCAGACCTGTGGAAAGTAGTTCAGCATCTTCCTCAGCACCCAGCCCACCCAAGTGGCCTCTACCTGCTGCAGCAGGAAAATGATTTCTCAAGACTGTCCTCCTGTAGGAGGGAGACCAGAGCCAAGGACAGCTGGGAGGACATATAGGCCCAAGGCAAACAGGTGGGAGCCGGCCCAGAGGGGCTAGAGCTCCAGTGGAGAGCCTGCAGGTCAGGCTCAGAGGCTCCGGGTCCATGGGCATCTGGAGGAGCTCTGTGGACCGGCTCATGTGTGGCAGGGCAAGGGGACATCAGTAAACTGGGGACAGTAGTACCTATGCCTCCTAGGATGGTGAGGATTAAGTAAAATGAAATACGTAAATGGCTGAGAATACTGCTTGGCACGGAATACCAATCAGCCGTGGCTATGGTTATTTTTTCATGGGACCGTTGGGAGGAGTGAACAGGACGACGTGGTGGACAGACTCTGCAGAACTGTGTCAGTGTTGGGGAGCAGCCTGCTTTTGTTAGGAACTCGGTAAACAAGCATGGATGCTGATCGGGAAATCCAGCGGACAGAGAGGAGGGGTGTGGAATTCAGTGACCAGGCACCCTCCTCCGGTCCCTGAGTTTCTTCACGGGACATTTGCATCAGAGACCACACAAGTCAGTTTGGGAAGGATGCCTAGAGATGGGACAGTCCCACCCTCCAGCTGCACACAAAGGGAAACTGAGGCTCGCAGGGTAGAAGGGACTCATCCGGGGCTCAAATCCAACATTTCTCCTTCTGTCCCCTCAGTTCAGGCCAAGCTCAGGATGGGGCTCTGTCAGCAGGTTCAGGGTTGGAGTGTCTCCCTGCTGGTGTCCCCTCCCCCACCAACGTCAGTGGGGCTCCCACCAGCTCTGAGAACCTCAACCTACGAGAGCTCCCTGCTTTGAATGCTGTCTTCCTGTTTTTCCATGGCCAGCAGTTGAAAAGTAATTGAAAGCCACTTCCAGCTCTGGTTTCCCCTCCAGAGCTTTCCTTCCCTGGGCCTCCCTTGGAGAGGTCGGGAGCAGGTCAGCAGCGTGTATATACCTGCTACCTTCGCCAAGATTTCTTTAGCTTTGGGCAAGTGTGAGCATTTCCCTTCCCCTCAAACAGAGCTCCCTCCTTCCTCCCTCCTGCCTTTTTTTAAAGTGACACCCCAACCACCCACACCTTGCCATTGGACTCACCGATCTGGCACACACAGAAGCTTATTCTGAGGGACCTTGGGTGTGTATTCTTGTTGCTCAGGTGGGATTTCTCTGCTGAAAAACAGTTGCAGGAGCACATAGGTACAAGATGCCAGGCCTGCTAGAAGCTCATTTGTAAGGTACATGTTGCCCAGCAAACCCAGCAATCATAGGCACGCAAACAGGGGGAAATAAAGATTTAGGATTTTTCTCGTAGCTACCTCCATGTCTTGGGAAGCAGTTGGATCAGCCCATGGGAAGGTCTTGCTGCCATGACAAATTCTCCAATGGGCAGAGGGGCTGCCCATTCATGAAGTGGCCTCACACACATTACTTCATCTGAACTGCACAACTGGCCTGGATGGAATTATTTTCTCTGCTTTTCCAATGAGTAAACTGAGGTTTAGAGTGGTGAGAGTCACTTCTAAAGATCAAGAGATGCAAGGCTTCCCCCAGCGGCTTCTGATTCCACACCCAGGGCTCCCTTACTAGCTATTCTACTAAAGAAAATCCAGAGTTTTTAACTTAGGACAGGATTCTGCCTTGACTTTGTAGTTCAGAGGCAAAACTAAGTGAATTAGAAGAAGACAGCCACAAAAGGGACATTGTGGTGAAGATAGAAGTGACCATTGAATTAATGAGAAGCTGGCTGTCCCAGTCTGGTCTCCTATTCTGCTTTTAAACTCCTAGTTGGACCACGTTTCCTCCCCAGAGCTCCCTTCCCACACCTTGGGGTAGAGTGTGTTCTCCTCGTCTAAGATGACCTTTCCATGCTCTGTGCATATCCACTGCAATTCTCGCTCTACATTGTCATTTGCTCGTTCCTAAAGCTCTCTTGTCCTGTGAACAGTGGGCTGCTCAGGTAAGGAAGGACTCCAGGGGCACCATAGCCATGCCAGCAGAGGTGTGGCAAGCAGTGTGGGTCAGCTCAGCTGCACGGCATGGGGCTCCGTGTGGGGCTGGCCTGGAAGCAGTGGTGTCTGGAGGTCCACAGAGAGGCCTGCAGCGGCCAGAGCAGTGACCAATGGCTGAGGAGTGGGCAGTATGGAGGTTCTAGGGAAGTGGGTGGCTTCTGAGGAAGTCCGGGAGCCATAGGCCTGAGGCTTGGGGTCAGGATTCAAGTCTTTGGGTTAGGGACGCCAGTGATCCTGAGGAAATGGGCTGCAAGGCCAGGACTGGTATCAAGCCCTTCCCTCCTGGCCCGGCTGCCAGGCCCACCGGAGCTGAGCCCTCTGAGCACCCCGAAGGAAGGCAGCGCCACGGATCTGGGGCCACCTCAGTTGCGGGGAGAAGAGAGGGCTGGGAGTGGGGAGCCATTTCTCTTACTACCAAAAGTGAGGAGTTCTGAGAAGTTAAGATACAAAGAATGAAAAACACTGTTTGGTTTAGAAATTGCCATAACCTGGATTCTTAGGTTAGGGGCTGCCTGACTTTCACACAGAGCCCTTTGTGATTCCTGCAGTAGAGGAGATGCGTCTTCCCTCATGCCAAACAGCCGGTTTCTGCCCCCGCCCTGCTGCCTGGGTTCATCTCTCCGATCCCCACGGACAGGCCGACATCCAGAAGGCATATTGAGTAACTGAGCTCACAAATTACCAAACCATTTGAATTCGATTTTCTGGGTGAAGAGTTATCACCCAGTTACTATGGAGACACGGACTTACCGCGTTCTTATCCCATCTGGAAGGGAAGTCCTCAGTCTCTGCACCCTGTCTCCCACGGTGAGGACCACCAGCCCTCTTGCTTGTGCTTGAAGCTGTGGAGCAGAATGGCCAGGGCCTCGTATCTTTGAAGAGGTGAAAGAAGAGAACTCATGGTATTTACTGCAAACCTGCTATGTCCAGACACGGCCTTGGGCCTTTTACCTGTATCATTACGTGTGTAGGCATATGTATGCATATGCATTAGCCCAGGGACCTAAAACTTGACTGTCCCCCACCCCCAGAGGAGGAAATGGAGGCCCAGCTGCCATACAGCGAGAGTAACAGGCCTCTCTGAGATCTTCACATTCCCCCTCTCTGGAGATGCTCAGAAAAGGTTGACGCTGCCTTTTCAGAGCTGGGATGGCCACTGGAGCTGGTCAGGCCACCAGGGGCTTTCCGATCTCTCAAATGCCCCTCTCACTGCAGTCTCTCCAGTTGACATCAGCCGGAACATCTGGCGGGCTGGCCCAGGCATCCAGAGGCGAAGGCCCCATCCTGGCCCAGGGCCCCTTCATCGGTTAGGGAAGAGCGCGGCGACTGCTTCTCTGTGAGGGGACTGTGAACCCGGCCGGGAGGATGAGCTGGCTATGCAGGTTTGCCTGCAAAGGGAGCCAGCGCAGTGGGTTGTAGGGAATCTGATGAAAATAATCAGCTGCAAACTCCTGAAAAACAAACAGTCCGTGATCCAGAGGTTTGAACAACAGCCCCCTCAGCCAGATGGCTGCAGAGGCGTGCCAGGGAGAGAAAATGATCTCCCGCCCTGAATTTCCTCTTTGTTCTGGATGTCACTGGCCTCCACCCCTCGCGTGTGCCAGCCACCCAGACCGAGTTTCGTGTGCAGGGAGCTTAAGGCAGCTTTCCCCAGATTAGGATTTGGGGACAGGGAATCCAGGAAAGAAGCGGCTTTCTTGTCCCAGCATGAGTCACCCAAGGCTGCAAGAAGCACACAGCTGTCTGCATCTGGGCCTGGAATGCTGCTTTTTCCTCAGAGGACACTCCCAAGAAGCCTGGGACCCTTGGGGGTGCTGAGCAGGAGGCCATAAGCAAGGCTGCCCTGTGTGGGGCTGGCCCTCTGGACACCTTGGTCCCCTCTGATAGACCTTCACAGCTGAGCTATTGGGAGCTGGATGCTAGCCTGTTGCCATGGCCGGTGTATCCCACCAAACTCAGCCTCCCTATGACTCCAGTAAGAGCATCTGTGTAAGAGCAAGGCCTTCATGGCTCTGAAGCTTACTCTGCCACTGTGTGACCTCTAGCAACTTATCTGACCTCTCTGAGCCTCAGTTTCTGCTTCATTGAGCTTTAGTGAGACTAATAAGTAAAGAAACTGTATTTTCGATGCATGTAACACACTATCTGGCACACAGCAGGCATTCAGGAAACACGGTTCCCTTCCAGCCCTCTGGTCCAGAGCCTCTTGGTACTGATTTCTTCTATTACCCACTCCTAAATGCTTTCACTGACCCATGATACAATATTTCATTCCTGCGATTTGGCAAAGCTTCCAGGTGCAGTCCTCTCCCGTTTTCTCTGAATGGATCCCCATCTCTCCTCCATCGTTGTATTAGCTCCTCTGTTTGCCAGTATGTATTTTGACTCTATGAGCTGCCAATATGTATTTTGACTTGAGGAGCTGCTACAGATTCTGTCTGGAAGGAACATGGGCAGTGCATAAGTGCAGTGAGATTGCACCAGGCTCACTGAACTTACCAACTGACTTAGAACTTTCCTCCCTCTATAAGATGTAAAGCCACTTAAAAAAAAAAAAATCTTCACAACAACAAACAAATCTATTTATGTGTACTAGGATTCTGAAGCACATTAGTCAGGTTGAGCTGGGGTTTGCTGCAGGAACACCAAGCTCCCAAATACGAATGGCTTAAAACAGCCGACGGTCATTTCTCACTCATGCCACACATCCATTGTGGGTTGGTGGGGTCTCTGCCCCACACTGGCCTCTCTTGGATACTCAGAATTCACCATCTGGAATGTTGTTGGTCACTGCAGCAGGGGGAGGAGAAGATGAAGAATTGCCTACCAGCACTTTAATGAACCTGCCCCCTTGCAACGCATGTCAGTTCACATTTCACTGTCCCAAGCAGGTCACGTGGTCTCCCCTATGCTCAAGGAAGCGGGCATGTCCAACTCCATTGTGCTTGCAGGTGGAAAAAAATTGAAATATTGCTGGACAATGCTAATGTCGACCATATAGAAACTCAATGTTTTCAAAAGAACAGAGAGTAGATAAGCAGAAATTCTGAAATTCTCCACCCCCCCACCCCGATTCACTAGAGACTTGAGAGTCATTGTAAAAGCAGAAAATGCCCAGACATTTGCATATAGAAGTTCCTTTCATTCCTGCCTTCATTCTATTTAGGGGTCCTCAATTTCCAGTGTGCATAAGAATTATTTTTGACATTGGACAACATCGTATATGCAATCCTAGATGGTTTCAAAGTGTTTTGAACATACACAGTTTTTTTCCCATATGTGCTAAATTTAGAACCTAACCTATTAAAAAAAAAAAAAAAAAAGAACCTAACCTATTTAGGATGTGACTCTACAGTGATTAATTCATGCTAATGCCTGACTTTATTATTTTGTAAAACCACTTTATTGGGGCGCCTGGGTGGCTCAGTTGTTAAGCATCTGCCTCCGGCTGGGGTCATGATCCCAGGGTGCTGGGATCGAGCCCCACATCGGGCTCCCTGCTCAGTGGGAGGCCTGCTTCTCCCTCTCCTACTCCCCCTGCTTGTGTTCCCTCTCTTGCTGTCTCTCTTTGTCAAATAAGGAAATAAAGTCTTTAAAAAAAACCAACCACTTTATTGAGGTGTGACTGACATACAAAAAACTGTCCATGTTTAATGTATACAGTCTGATGAGTTTAGAGAGAAGTATACATCCATGAAACTATCACGGCCATCTATGCCATAAACATATCCTTTACCCCCAAAAGTTTCCTCCCACCCTCTTTGATTGCCTGAATTTAATTGTTTCAATGTTTTATTCCCTTTCCTCTTCTGTGTTTCACTTACAACCCAAGGGGGCCACTCTGTTCCTGAATCCAATTGCACTTAGCATTTGTTTGATTTTGTGCCTTGACCATAAGAGTGTACAAATACTAATTTTTATCCAAACTCTAAAAAAGTCTTTCAGGGGTGCCTGCGTGGCTCAGTCCTTAAGCATCTGCCTTCGGCTCAGGTCATGATCCCAGGGTCCTGGGATCAAGCCCCGCATCGGGCTCCCTGCTCAACGGGAAGCCTGCTTCTCCCTCTCCCACACCCCCTGCTTGTGTTCCCTCTCTCTCTGTCTCTGTCAAAATAAATAAATAAAATCTTAAAAAAAAATTAAGAAGTCTTTCATACACATTATGTCATTTAGTGATTCTCACCCTAACCCTAAGGAGTTGGTTTATTGAACATTTCCATTATGCTGATGAGCTAATAGAGGTTAAGGGAGGTTAAGTGATTTGCCCAAAGACACACAGTACAAATGTGTTGAAGTCAGGTTTAGAGGCTCAGGTCCCACAGATCCCTTTCCACTGTTATCCCTACAGGGCATTGTGCTCAACGGATGCCGCAGGGATTACTCTGGGCACACAACATTCCTGGAGCTGGACGTCCAGGAATTCCTGTCAATTAGGCATTGATTCACAGAATAAACACTTCCCTGAAGAGCTCTCCACAGCCGGCCAATGTCGTGGCCCTGCCATGGTTCAGTCTCAGGTGGTGAGATGCCCATTAGTCGTGGAGGCGTGACAGCGTGAGGTACAGATTCACACATGAACCGAACTCTAAGTGTGTAATATGTATCCAGTGTGTAAGCTATGTTCTCTGTGGGGTCGATGTTCCTGTAAGTCTTTTTCGATTTATAGGGTCACCTAGTACAATACATGATACCCAGTTAAATTTGAATTTGATAAAAGACAAATTATTTCTTAGCCTAAGTATGTCCCAAATACACTAAAAAATAATTTGTTGTTCAGGGGCGCCTGGGTGGCTCAGTCGTTAAGCATCTGCCTTCAGCTCAGGTCATGATCCCAGGTTCCTGGGATCGAGTCCCACGTCGGGCTCCCTGCTTGGTGGGAAGCCTGCTTCTCCCTCTCCCACTCCCCCTGCTTGTGTTTCCTCTCTCACTGTGTCTCTCTCTCTCAAATAAATAAATAAAATCTTAAAAAAAAAATTTGTTGTTCAATTGGGCACCTTGCATTTTTATTGGTTAAGTGACAAGTACATCGTTATGCCTGTACGTCAGGATAAATAGATTTGCTTGTTCAGTCCCAGGGCGCACATGAGTGTGTGTGCGTGTCTGTATCTGTGTGTCTCTGTGTGTGTGGGGGGGGTCTGTGTGCATGTGTATCCTGGCTGATAAGGAGTCCGCAAGTCATTGGGACTAAATGGCCTCACCACCCACAGCTCATTTCCTTCTAGGCCAACCCTGTTGGAGCAAGAGAGGTCAGGATGGACCTTGAATGCCAGGCCAGGGAGCATGGACTTTCTCCTGAGGGCAATGAGGAGCCATGGAAGGCTCTAAACTAAGGAGAGGGCAGATTTTGATGTGTGCTAGAGATGCCCCTCTGGCTATTTGCAGAGAACTAGAGAGTGACCCGCAGGAGGGAGGATGAGGGGACTGGTGGTCACCTCAGTGAGAGAGATAAGGGTCCAGGCTTGGGCTTTAGCAGTGGAGATGGAGGGAAAGATGCAAACTGTGGGACTTGTTTCACATTCCTGCAGGGGTGAGGGAAGGGGGAGTCGGAGGTGATGCTCAGGTTTCTAGCTAGGGCGCCGAGGGACTGCAGGCTCCTTGAAGGTTTATCTTGGTTCCTTCCTCATCTTCAGTGTCAGGCACCATGCCTAGCACATCAGGGATGCTCAATGGGAGTTTCTGCCATTAATACGTGCCTGTGTGAATGAGAGAAATGGGGGACACTGTGGGATTGGGGGGAGGAGGAGAGGTCTGGGAAAGAAGCTGACCTCAGTTATTTGGGGAGAGCTTGGGCTTGAGGTGGCAGCAGGACTTCCCAGGGAGATAGCCAGGAGGCAGTTGGCCATAGGGCCAGCTCAGGAGAGAGGTCCAGGCCGGAGAAACAAATTCAGGGGGTGTGAGTAGGTAGGAAACCAGATCACTGGAGCGAAATCACTGGAGGACAGGTGAGGAATAAGAAGGCAGTGGATGTGGAAGGAAGCATGGGGCCAATGGCATTTGAGTAGCTGGAAGGAGTCTGAGGCGGCCAATGGTTCCCCCTCACAAGGCTGCTAGGGGTTAAGTGAGATACCCATTGGCTTGGAAGATGAGAGCCAGGCAGGGTGTGATAAGCAGAACATTTAACAGGCACTGGACAATCAGATCAGACTGGGCCACTGATGGAAGCCAGGTCTTCTAGGCTCCCAGTTGGGCTAGAGTCAACTCCTGAGTAGTTGGATCATAGGAAAGGTGGGGGGGCAGGATGGGAAGAGGGCCTGGGGCAGCTGGGGCAGGGAGTGGGGCACCCCGGGGCTCAGGGCAGCTGCTCTGTACCGGCTAGCACAGAACATGTAAATACTTTAATAAGTGGGACAGTTACATAGGGACATCCTGGCTGCATGTCAGGGCTGGCAGTATCTATTGCATTCATTCCTGGCTGTGGCCTCACATTAGAAGAGCGCCCAGCAGTGAGTAAATGACAGTTCACATCGGGCCCCAGCACCATGCCTGGCCTGGAATAGGTCCTCAATCCATGTAATTTTTGTCATCTTCTTTTCAGAGAGTAAAGACCTCTCCATAGTTCCGGGAATTTCCTTCCCTGAGCACAATTTTTCGTTTTAGGGAATCAAATTTCCTTTCACTTGTGAAGACCTGTCTTTTCTGCTATTGAAGTCCTGGGAATTTCAAAGGCCCCGGCTGGAAAGCTTGCTGAGAGTCATGGGACAGGAGGAGCCCAAGTGAACAATGGTCCAATCTCAAGGGACGGCTCCAGTCAGGGTCACCCTTCTCGTGGCCTCCCCTTCTTTCCAACACAGCCTCATCATCTGTCGGGAACCAGGGATTTCTCCCGGGCCTGGCACACCGTCTGTGCTATGTAAGTGTTTGCTATGATTATTTTTGTTATTACTGTCCCTCAGCCTGGTGTTTCCTCAAATTGAATTATTTCTGTGACTCCAAAGCTTAGTTTATTTTTTTTTATCCGAGCCTCCGACTAATACCTCAAGGCTTTGGATCCCCCAAGCTGGGTCCTCTTGCAAAGACTAATTCCAACACAGTCTCTTTCCGGTGATTTTTAAACACTCACACTGCAGAGGAAGGTAGGCTTCCTTCAGGAGCTCACTTAGTTTAGATAAATATGTGGCCTGTGGCTATACGAATGGTCCTAAAATGTACCTTTTTCTAGGTGTAGGGTCTCAAAAGGAGTTTTCACGATTCAATGCCTATTCAATCAGTCATTGATTTGTCCACCGAGCAGCTGCCGCTGGAACTTCAGCGAGGACAGGGCTCCGGGCCTGTTTTGTTTGCTGACGTAAACCCAGAGGCAGCACAGAGCCTGCCACATCCTCGGTGCTCAGGGATACGTGTTGGATGAGTGAGTGAGCGAATGAGTATCTTACCTGTGTCGGGATGCCCAGCTTTGGAAAGCCAAAGTAGGACACGATCCCTGCTGTCCGTGAGCTTGTGGTCCTGTGCAAGAACCCGCCATCCCCATGCCATCTACCGGAAATTCAGAATAGGTCAGCATGGCTGCCCATGAGGCCCACAAACGTCTTGCAGTGGTCCAGGAGCCTGGCAGGAGTGGTGCCAGTGTGGGGAAGACCAGGAAGGGCGTCTGAGCTGGGTTTCATTTCAGCGTGAGGCATGGGTGGCAGGGAAGCAGAATGAGCCAAGGTCCAGAGTGGGAAATCTTGGTTTCGTAGAGGAAGTTCCAGAAAGGCCCCTGGGTTGGGTGGGTTACTAGGAAGAAGCTCCAGGAGGGCAGGGGCTGTGTCTGTCCGATCCATCTTCTATGACCCAGTGTCTAGCACATAGGAGGCTCTTAAGAAATCGTAGCACGGGAGAGCAAAGAATGACACGAAATGGAAAGGAAAAATGGGACCTAGAAGTCAGTTTTGGAGGTTTGCTCAGCAACTTCAGTGACTGTCTCCTTCCAGCCTGGAAGGTAGAGGCTCGTGTCTGGGAAGAACATTAGGGCCCACCCCAATCACCTCCATAACACCCCTCCCCAAGTGATCATGTAGTTTGGGCTAGGATGCCCCTCAGTGATGGAGACCTCCCTCCCTCCCACACAGCTGGTCCTTTTTTTTGGTATAGATCTGATGGCTAGAATAGCCCATCCTTATGTTGACCACATAGGAGTGGCAGGGATATAGCACTGAACTTGGCTTGGCTCTTGGCCCTTCCTCTGACTCTTGTGGTCCTTGGGCAGGGCTGGCATGGCCAGTGATTACACAAGTGTGGGCTCTGCTGTCAGAACAGAAGTTACTTGATACCGCTGTGCCTTACTTTCCTTATCTGTAATTGGGTTTAGTAGTAATAGTACCTCCCTTGTAGGATTCTCGTGGGGATCAAATATATCCTAATGTGTTAGCTAATACATGCAAAGTTCTTAGTGCCTATTGGCAAATGAGTAAGGGCTCAATAAAAGTGAGCTCTGATTTTAGTGTTTTTGCCTCCTTTCAGGCTTTCAGTTTCTCCCTCCATGCAAAAGGAATAAGAAGCCTTGCCTCGGCTGTCTTGGGGATGGTGGGAGCACCCAGAGAGAGAGAAGGGTGTGAAGGCATCACAGACGGGAGTGTAATGCAGCATTCCCATCAGCTGTGGCCTTTGCCCTGGACGATCTCACCGGCATGGCTGACCACCCTCTCCAATCACTCCCACCCCGCCCAGCTCCTGCGTTTTCTCTCTACCTTTGGTTGCTAGTTCCTGTTCCTTGCCATCCTGTATCTTGACCTATAAGATATATATTTAGAACAAACCTGCAAAGAGAGGAAAGGGGACATGAAGAGAAGGAAACAGGCAAAGTTCTCTCTTTCAGCAGTTCCTTGGGGGACTCAAGGCTCAGGCTTTCTGATCCCTCTGCAAAGGGGGCTCACCCAGCCTTTGAACTAACCACTTCCTCTCTCCTGGCCTTTTCAGATCAGAGAGGTGGGAGGGGGTGTGGAGATTCATTTCCTGGATGAGCTGAACAGGAGGCTGCAAGCTTCTCTCTGATGTGGGACACTTCTCCAGGGGCCCTGGCCCTGGAGATAGTACTCGGGCTGTGGTGGCTCCTCTTGGGGTCTCCCTTGGACTCACCGCTGCCCAGCTGCCACTGACCACATGGATTGCTTTTAAGAGTTTGGGCTGACCTTCAGCATAACTAAGATGCTGTCAGAGCTAGAAGAAGCTTTCAGACTCTTTCCGTCAGTAGTTCCCAGACTAGGGGCCCTGGGTGCTGGGGGTCCTCAGACTATTTCCAGCTTTTCCACAAGCCCAAAAGACACGGTAGATAGCCCCTGTGTGTGTGTGTGTGTGTGTGTGCGCTCATAGGTCCCTAACAATATTAGGTGTCTCCGTGTTTTCCTGACACCAACTCAGGGTGGTCCTCTGTACGCTGGTGTTGCTAGATACAATAACAGCTTCTCACTGAGTATCCTCTGCCAGGAGCTGGGGGCAAAGCCCTTGACACACATCATTTCACCAATCCCCAACCCAGTAAGGTGGGAAAGCTTTATGATCTCTATTTTGCAGATGGAGAACCTGCGGGTCCAAGTTGTCTGCAGCCACACACACAGTCAACCAGGATTCCAATCCAGGCAGACTGATTCCCTAGCTCCAACCCTCAGCCACTTGGAGACAGTCTCCTACAGCTCAGTTGTATGTTTGTCAGAATTGCAAAAGGGCAAACACATTCGTCCTTACTCAGGGAAGGCTATTGGTAGAGAAAACTTTCGGATGCATGTACTAGATGTAGGAAGCATAATCAGAGGGGCAGTGGGATGGTTGAGAACCAGCCACTTGTGTTGTAGAACTAAGGCCAAAGTAGTGAGGGTCTTGCCCAGGGTCTTCTTGTGAACTGGCAGCTGGGACGAGAGCTTGTTTCACTTCTGGTGATCCCAGAGCACCTTGGGCCAGTCAGCAAGCAGGGCAGCAGAGGGGTTCCTCGAGCCTATGGCTCCCACCTGGGATGGCATATGCCCGTGGCTCTGCCTGGCAGGATCTCTGAGTTCCCTCTGCCCTGCAGGCTGCTCCCCAGCAGGGTTCAGACCACACACCCTGAGAATTCTCCCCCAAGCCCCACCTACCTCCCACCAGCTGCACAGGCTTTGGCTTTGCCAAACCACAGGGCTGTTGAGTGCTGAGGGGGCCGGCAGTATTTGTCTTCAGTAAACTCTTCCTTTATCACCTCTGCAGCTTCTAATTCCATACTTGTGCATGCACTTTACAGTTTGCAAGGTCCTTCCACATCTACCATTTCATTTGAGACCCAGCGCTGTTCTGGGACCTGGGCAGGGGAGGAATAACACCCCCTTTTACAGAAGAGGAAAAGGAAGTTCTAAGAGGCAAGGTGCCTTGTTCAAGGTCACGTGCTCAGCTCGGAGATGTTGGAGCCAGAAGGTGGAGTGGAGTAGGCCTGTTCCACCTCATGGGACAGCATCTCCCCTTTCAGGAGTGAGGACTCTTGGAGAGCAGTGAGTAAGGTTGGGCCCTGCAAAGAACTTTATTTATTTTTATTTTTTAAATTTTTTATTTTTTTATTTGATAGAGAGAGAGAGGGAGAGAGCACAAGCAGGTGGAACAGCAGAGGGAGAGGGAGAAGCAGGCTCCCCGCTGAGCAGGGAGCCAGACGTGGGACTCGATCCCAGGACCCTGGGATCATGACCTGAGCAGAAGGCAGATGCTTAACCGACTGAGCCACCCAGGCGCCCCCTGCAGAAAACTTTATATATGACTAACTGCATCCCTTAACTACATCTTTCTTCCTACAAGGGATAAATAAAGGTAGCTGATTAAAACACTTAAACCTGTGTTGCCTGAGATTTCGGGCCTGCACTCTGAGAACTCATGATGTGACAAAAGACACAGATGTTCCAGTCAGAAGTGGCTTACGTCTCAGATCCATGACTTTATTACTATGACCTTGGAAAGACAGTTGAGCATCCGGGCTTCCATTTCTTTTTTTTTTTTAGATTTTATTTATTTATTTGAGAGTGAGAATGAGAGAGAGAGAGAGAGAGAGCATGAGAGGGGGAGGGTCAGAGGGAGAAGCAGACTCCCCGCCGAGCAGGGAGCCCGATGCGGGACTCGATCCTGGGACTCCAGGATCATGACCTGAGCCGAAGGCAATCGCCCAACCAACTGAGCCACCCAGGCGCCCCTCGGGCTTCCGTTTCTACACATGGATGACAAAGGTGATGATAGTACTTGCTTTGCTTCTGAGAAACATGAGTAAGGCCATCATATGCATTTCTTTGAGAGATTTTAAGAAGTGTTACATGAAGATTACATGTGACAATGAATTTTCAGAAACAGGGAAGGCAAGGGAAATTCAATTTATAAGCTAGCGATTATTAAGTGCTCCCTAAGTAATTTAGATAGATTGTTCCATTAACGTGAACAAGAGCCTCTAGGAACCTGGTATGATATTATCATCCTCACTGTACAGATGGGGGCACTGAGCCCCAGAGATTTTAAGTAACAGGCAGCAAATGGCAGAAGCAGGATATGAAATTTTGGTAATTTAGTGCCAAGCAGATAAGTGCTTTAACTGTCCAGGGGCATCAGAATCACCTGAAGGTCTGGATAAAACCCGGGTTGCTGGGCCCCACCCCAGAGTTTCTGACTCAACAGCTTTGGGGTGGGGCCTGAGAATTTGATTTCTAACAAGGTGATGCTTTGATTTCTTTCTCAGGTGAGACAGATGCTGCTGGATGGGGGGGCCACACTGTGAGAACTCTGTGCTACACAGAACTCTCCTGGTACCTCCCGCCCCACTGATGGCCAAATCTGGGCCTTCTAAGGCCTGTTTGCACAGCTCAGCTGGACATTCATGTGCACTAGATTCTTGATTTATGTCATGTAGACACACATTATGCTAATGGACAAAGTGGCTGAGGAGGCCTTGACTCCTTCAGAAACCAAGTGAGAGCAGTTGCCTCATGACCGATGGTCCTGCAGGTGCCCGAGTCCTTGTAGCTGTGGTCGCCCAGGCCCTTCCCAGGGCCAGCCAGGCGAGGAGGGCCATTTGTCTGGGGAAGGCACGGAGGACAGATTCACAGGCTGCCCTCCCCATTCCCCACAGTCTTTCTCTTTAAGCAGCTCACGCTCCCAGATTTCCGAAATAATCTTTGAATGGAGAGATCAGTCACAGCCTGCAAAAAGAGAAAGCACAGACTGAGAAGACTTAAATTGAATTAAATTTAATTAAATTTATGTTTTTGAAAAGACATAAGGAAACGACTTCTGGAAGAATAGAAGCATTTCAGAAAACAGGGGTTGAGCCAAAAGCAAGGGTAACAGGAAGAAGAGAGTGAAAACCAAGGGCATATGGATGTCTAATTGTTCCGGAACTCTATTTTTGGGAAAGACTATGCTTTCTCCACTGAACTACCTTTATGTCTTTGTCAAAAATCAGTTGTCCAAATGTAGAACAGCCAAAACAATCTTGAAAAAGAGTAACATCACAATGTCAAAACTTACTACAAATCCACAGCAATCGAGCGGTGTAGTACTATCATAAAGATAGACATCTGTGCAATGGAACAGAATTTGAGAGTCCAGAAAGAAACCCTCACTTTTATGATCAGTTGATTTTCTGCGGTGGTGCCAAGGCCATTCAATGGGAGGAAAACGGGGTCTTCAACAAATGGTATTGGGACAACTGGATATCCACACGCAAAAGAATGAAGTTGTTCCCCTCCCTCATGCTATATACAAAAACTTGTACCTATGCATTTTGTACTTTTTATGCTATTCTAAATGACGTTTTTTAATTTCAAATTCCAATTTTTTGTTGCTAGTGTATAGAAATACAATTGATTTTGTGTATTGATCTGGTATCAGCAGATCAACCTTGCTGAGCACATTTCTTAGCTCCAGTAACTTTACAGAAGATCCCATCAGACTCTCTACAGATAATCATGGCAATTTTACTTCTTATTTTCCAATCTGGATGCCTTTCATTTCTTTTTCTTGCTTTAAGGAACTAACTAGAGCCTCTAGAACCTCAGAGAGGAGCAGTGAGACATGCTCACCTTGTTCCTGATCCTGGGTGGAGGGGCCAGTTTTGAGCGTTAAGGAAGATGTTACCAGTGGGTTCTTCTGTGGGTACCCTTGGACAAATAGAAGAGGCCTCCTTCTATTCCCCTTCGATTCCTAATTTGCTGAGACTTTCAATCAGGAATGGATCTTGGATGTTGTCAGTATCTACAGATACAGAAAATCCAGTGGTCATGGTTGGGAGTCCAAACTCAGGAGTGGCCTCTGCCTTCTCTCAGAAAGGAGAGGGGAAGAAAGAGCCCTGCCCAGTGAAAGGAGGCTTTCTCTTCTGCTGCTGCTCTGCACCCCGCTCCTTGGCTGATATTCCTAGAGTTCAGACCCTTGGACTCCAAAGCCAGTGCTCTTTCCTCTACACCAAACTGTTCCAAGACTTTGACTCTGGAACTCTGCCTGACCAACGTCCTGAAAATGGATGAAACCTCAGATCCCTCAATAATATAATAGTAGCAGCCACTCACTGAGCACTTTTGGAATATCAAGAACCAGGGCTGGCACTAGGGTGAGGTGAGTGAACCCCCCCATGGGGGCAGAATTTACAGAGGTACCCACAGCACGGCAGGTGCCTCACCCGCCTCACCCTCATCCCGGCCCTGCAAAGAACAGTGCTCAATAGTCTGCTTGCATCCACTCCCTAAATCCTCAAATAACCCTACAGCGGGATGTGCTAGTAGTATTCTGAGTTTACAGATAAGGAAACAGGATGAGAGAGGTGAAGTGACTTACCCAAGAAGTAAGCTGGAGAGCTGGCATTTGAAACAAAATCTGCTCATGTTCCCTCTGTGTGCTTAATCAGTGGTTCCCAGCTCTAGTGGGCCAGAATCTCCTGGAAGGTTGGTTAAAATACTGATGGCTGGGCCCCACCCGACGATTACTGATTTAGTAGGTCTGCTGTGTGGGCAGGAGAGTTTGTGTTTCTGACGAGTTCCCCGGTGACGCGGATGCTGCTGGTACAGGGACCATACTTTGAGAACCACTGCACTATTTGTCATACTTCTTCCATTGTAGCCCTTGCTCATCAGATCCCAGCGGGCAAACACTGCTGGGTCTCTCTGGTTTGCGAAAGGAAAGAAAGCATCAATTTCCCAGGACTGGACCAAGAGTTTCCATGTCATCCATGCGTGTGTTACAGCCCCAACCCCATTCCAGAAGGCCTTGCACAGAATCAATGAGCAGTCATGAGTCGTTGGAGGATGAACTGACTGGTTGCCATGGGACCTCTGTAGGGACTTACTCATCCTAAAAGAATGCCTGACATTTATTCTGAAAGGCGTCTTTCTATAGACCCTCAATCCTTGTAGTACAAAATGGTATTTTTTTCTAAATATATTTGAAATGTATTCTAACTTATTCTTAGACATCTATATCAGGGACATGGTACATTGAATTTTTCAAGTCTTTGAACACGTGCCATTGCAAAATAATAAGGGAAAGGGGGAATCAACACAGAGCTGTTCACCATGTTATTTAAAAAAAAAAAAAAGCAAACTTAAACCCGTCTTGGCAAAATCTCCAAGCTCTGAACATGTGACAACATTCCAGAGTTGACCCTAGTGTCCGAGGAGTTAAATTTTTCTTTAAGCTCCCAAATCTTTGGACCGTAAGACCCCATCCAGTGTCATTTAGCCCCAAAGTGCAATAAGGAAAAAGCTGATTTTATTCATTCACTTGATTTTTATGAGGAGTATCACAAGCGCCCATAGCAGGGATTCACAGTCTTGGCTGCACATTGGAGTCACTTGGGGGAGCTTCTGGGAATCCCTTTGCCTCTGGCCATGCCTGAGACCACGCACTTCAGAATTACTGGGAATGGGATCAAGCAGGAGTGGTTTTGAAAGCCCCCAGGTGAGGCCAGTGGCAGCTAGCATTAAGAAAGCCCAGCTTTAGGGCAAGTGAGTTCTTGGTGAATCCTCATAGCCTTCCTCCGATTTTATACATTCTGTACATATTGACGAGGTCCCTTCTCAAAATGTGGTACCCATCTACACCATCACCATGAATATATTATGCATGAACTCCATCTCGATACCTGTCTGCTCTGCTTGCTCCCTGCAATTTCCCTCCTGATCTAATTCATGTAGACCGATGCTGTGGTAGACCAGGGATGAATACAGATTCTTTGCTATCTCTCCTGTTGAGAGATGAGGTCTAATTCCCTGCCTTTGACCTGGGCTAGCCTTAGTGATGTGTTGACAAACAGTTTGTGACAGAAGTGGTGTTCTGGAGCTTCTGAGCTAAGTTGCAAGAAGTCTTGCAGCTTTTGGCTAGGTATCTTTGCATGCTTGCTCTGGGAGATGCCACCTACCACATAAGAGCTCCAACCTTGCTGAAGAGACTGCCATTCTAGAGGGGCTCAGTGTAGAAGCTGTGGCCAATACCTGCAGCCGAGCCCATTCTGCCAGCCACCCCAGGCATCAGGCACATGAGGGGACCCTTGGATCCTCTAGATTCATTTTCCAGCCAAGTACTAGTGAGTGCCCTCAGAGGCCATGAAGGGCAAAAGCGTTTCTCCGATGAGCCCTGCCTAAAATCTAGACCCATAAAATCATGAAATACGATAAAATGGTGTTTGTTTCAAGCTGCTAAATTTTAGGATAGTTTGTTGTGCAACATTAGATAACTGGAACAGGTGTCATTATGTTTCCTTTTTTTTTTTTAATTGCGTTAAGAACCATGTCCCTTTGATTTACATTTCTAGTTTGTATTTTCCTAGGGATTTGGATTTGGATTTGTGCTTTGTTTTCACCTTTGCACACAGGCCTTGTCTTGTTCCCAGGTAGGACTTTGACTCCAGATTCACACTTCATAGCACTCCCAAGATGCTGAATGTCCAACTCCCCACCCACATCGCTGTGACATGGACTCCTGCCAAGGAGATTTATACATGAATGACCTTGAATTCCTTTCAATTCTTCCATTATTATAAGTGTCCTGGATGGTGGAGGGAGAAAATGAGATTTGTTTTCTCAGTCTAACATTCATATCCATGGCATATTGAGTGCTACAGATGATACAAAAATGTAGGGAGATATGAAGCATCAGTTCCAGGCTCCTTGACAAGAAGCCTTATAAGTGGATCCAGAGCAACCCAAAACACAGAAATAAGAGACTCTGTAAACCCTGAATGCTTCCTGCAGTAATATAATTTGCGTGGTTTGAGCCTTGAACAAAACTGCCTTTCGCATGTATTATATATTTATTTCCTAAAACATGAAAGCATTCTAAAAACAATAATTTGGGCACTAAGATGGGTAATTTCCCATCTTAATTACCCCTGACCTCTACTAATGTTTCTTCCTACTTAAAGCATGAACAGCATCTACTGTCCCCCCAACCCCCCACATGTTTTTTTTTAGGGATTGAACTTTTGTAAAAAGTAGAGATACAATAATGTTAGACATATTCGAAAACAAGGAAAATCTATATGCCTACCACTTTGACATAGTAACAACTATATTTTTATGTTCCTTTCCTGTTTTTACAGGTCACGTGTGTGCAAATATTGTTCCAGACTTTCCGCACCCAATACTTTCATCATAAGTGTTTTCTGTGATCCTTCATAAACTCCATACCAATCATTTTTAATGGTTATAGAACATTTCTTCAAGGCTTATACCATAATTTACTTTACCATCCTCTCTTTACTTTTTTGAATATTTGGGCTGCTTCCAGTTTTTCACTAAGCAACTCTTTGATGAATATTTTTCTGCATATGGCTTTTTCCATATTTCAGGGTATTTTCTTAGGCTAGCTTCCCAGAAGGGGATTATTGAGTCAAAGTGTAAGAACATTTTTATGGCTTCAAAGTATCTTTTGAAGAAGGTAGGTGTTCCATTTCATGAGGTTCCCAAACATTAAAAAAAGGAAATTTGGCTTTAAGAAAATCCCTTGTAACACATGTATGTAAAACTTTGGGCAAAGGGCACTTCTGATCATTTTCTAAGTCATTACAAGCTTGCCCTTTTAAATGAAAACAATTAAAAAGTTGCTTTTTATTTTATTTGTTTTCGATGAGAGTCTTTTCTGAGATGTTTTACACTGCTGAGCTTTTCTAAAAAGAGCCCACACAGCACTGTCGAACCTTTTTCTCCAAGGCTCACGTGATCCGCATACCCGTCAGCTATTTTCTCCGGGCGGGCGTAATACCTGAGTACTTCCAGGAATTTCTGCGGTGGAGAGGCTACTTGCTCCTTCACAAAACGGTCACAGATGAGGGGCTCTTAGGGAGGTCTCCCCTGTCTCTGGGTTCAGGGCCTGGACTCCCAGGTGCGGGTTACCTCTAGCATGCTGCCGCCTCCTTGGGCTGAAGATGCCAACCCCTCCTCTTGACCTGCAGACCACAGGCAGCTCTTGGAATCGGGGGTCCCATGGGCCCACCCCAAGCAAACAGCGAGGTACGCCCATCAGCCAGAGTCCCTCTTGGCACATGTTATATGTGAAGCGCCATGCTGAGGTGGTGAGCAAGGCGTGTTGGGATTTCCTTGGATGCACGTGGTTATGAGAAGCTCCCATCACTCTCGGAAGTCCCGTGATGCTCCTGCAACCCCTCTTGCGAAGGTGAGAATCCCTCTCAGCTGTCTTGCCAGGGGTCACCCAGAGAGCCGGGGTGTGGCGGGGGGAGAGGGGCCCTGCCACCTCCAGGGCTCCCCTGAGGATCATGTGAGAGAAGCAGTGAGGAGCCATGAAGGCCCCTACCTTGGTGAGTCGTCATAACCTTGTTTAGATTGTAAGAACACAGACCCGCTCAGGCCGGTGCCAGTCAGTTTTATTTTGTTTGCTTTTTGGTTGCAAAACCTGGATTCTCGCCTGTGCTTCGGAATGGGAGCCCTGGAAGGGTTGGGCCCCCCGCCCCCAGGGCCTGGAGCGGTGCAGGGAGCAGGGGAGTGGGGTAGGAGGCATCCAGACCTGGGCGGCACCAGGGCCCTGCAGGGAGAGTGTGTGGTGCTTTACCCAATGACTCTACATACGAGAACACCGAGTCGCTAAATCCAGGAAGCAGGGGCAGCTTAAACCAAGATAAGAAGGGACTGTCCACGGAGAGGCAGGGGGAGGCCACTTTTTCTGAAAATGGTGTCTGTTCAACCATTTTAAAGTAGTATGTTGATATGATGATCGTTAAGAGTGTGGTAAGAATATCAGAGGATGCAGTGGGAGGGAAGGATCTGATTATTTAGTTTGTGACGGGTGTTAGTGGTCAGGGGGTAGTGAAAGGGTGGTTGGTGGCTCCGCCAACCAGTGTCACAGGCCCCACTCCTTGAGCCTGGCTCTGCCCTTGGCCTTATGGTTGGTGTCTATTCTTGTGCTTCTTCCCGCATGTTAGAACCTGGTCTGCTTGCACACTGTGGCAGGGAAGTGTGGAATTGATTCGGGGAACCAGGCTGCCCATCTGATGGAGGTGCCAGACTGTGGTTCAGGAAGGTGAGAAATATTCCCTTAAGCCCCCTCAGCTTGAATCTAAGAGCCCTCAGCCCCACTCCACTCCCACTGTGGCTGGTTCCTTTGTCCACTGTGATGTAAAACCTTTGAATGGCTAGGATCCATCTGTTCTCCCACCCCGTGGGGAAATGCAAAACACATGGGCCGCCAACCTCAGAGCAGGGCCCTGTGAAAACCGCAGGCCTCGGCAATGGACAATTGTTTGTCTCTCTTTGGGCATCTGGTTTTGGGAGACAGAGCAAGACTAGTTTAGCTCATCAGAAATCACTGGGGCTTTCACTTTAGCCCTGAGATTTGTAAGTCAAGTAGAGAGAGAGGGTGAGAGCAGATGACTAATGCTTACAGAGAGATTCCCAACATGTTTCACATTTCCACTCACTGGTGCTGATTAAGAATTTTGAAATGGGAGCGTCTGGGTGGCTCAGTCAGTTAAGTGTCTGCCTTCGACTCAGGTCATGATCCCAGGGTCCTGGGATCAAACCCCACGGCGGGGGTCCCTGTTCATCAGGGGGTCTGCTCTTCCCTCTCCCTCTGGCCCTCCCCCCCGCAGCTTGTGTTTTTTCTCTCTCTCTCTGTCTGAAATAAATTAATAAAAAAACCTTTAAAAAAAAATAGTGTGTGTTTATGAGATTGTGAGACCGAGGGTCTTGTTCAGAAAAGTTAGAAAGCCACAATCTGCCAGCATTTCTTAGTGGGACACAATTGGCCCTGTTGCTTGGATAGTTCTTTGTTGTATAGACCGCCTCTCCCATTGCAGAATTTAGCAGCCCTGGCCCCTGCCACCAGATGCCAGGAGCATCCCCATTCATTGTGACAAAGGAACTTCCCTACCTATCCATTTCCAAACACCTCCTAGGGGTGCCTCTGACCAGACCCTGAACCTATAGGATTGAGGAAGGAGGAAGTAGCAACCCGCTGTTGATCCAACACTACTCCTGCTTTGCAGTCAAGCCCAGCAGAGCTGGGGTAGGAGGCAGAGTAGCTCGGAAGGGGGAGAGAGAATGGCTGTGTGTTTCATTAGCTGTTCTACTGGCCACTCTCAGAAGCAAGGGGGGCCTTAACTCAACAGAACATATGATCTCTTGCTCTTTCAAGGGTGTGGTGAGTGGGGAAGTCCATCCAAGAGAGGTCTTGGCAGTCTATCAGAGCTAGTAATTGCAAATGTATCATTGTATGGGGTTATATTTCAACTGGAAAATGTCCTAATGCACACAGTGCCAAGGTAAAGTTCAGGAACCAGGTGCTGTGAAAAATAGAGATGTTGAAACTTTTAGGCCAATGGCAATGAAACTTCAGTGTGCAAAAGGTAGGTCAGAGGAGATTCTTAAAATTCCAATTTCCGGGGTCTGCCTGCAGACACTCTGATTTGGAAGGTGTTAGGTAGAGACTCAGAATCTGCATTTTTAACATTCTCCCACAGAATAATTCTGATGCATGTGGGCCACAGGTTAAAAAAACTCTGGTCTGGACCAAGGCTGACTAATACTGAGCGGCAGAGTGAAATGCTCTAGGGTGGCACTTAGCAAAGCGGCATCTCATGAGAATGAAACATTCATTTCTTATTATCTTTCTGATTTGTAATGGTCTTGATTCTGAGTATATGGGGGAACTTGGCAGGAGCCCCACAAGGCAGAGAGAAGATCACTAGACAGACATTAGAGCACTTGGCTCTGGCTTTGCCCTGGATTAATTGTGGCCCTGGGCAAGCCCCTTCCTCTCTCTGGGCAGGAGTGGAGACTGGCTTGACAATCTCTGAGAACTCTTCTAGAACAGATATTCTTTTTTTTAATTTTATTTTATTTATCTGACACAGAGAGAGAGAATACAAGCAAGGGAGCGGCAGGGAGAGGGAGAAGCAGGCTCCTGCTGAGCAGAGAGCCTGACGTGGGGCTCAATCCCAGGACCTTGGGATCATGACCTGAGCTGAAGGTACTTAACTGACTGAGCCACCCAGGTGCCCCTTCTAGATCTGATATTCTATGACTATAAGTATGGGCTTTTATTTATATTAAAAAGACAAAGGCACTAAATAATAATAAAATAGAAAATTGCTTAGTGACTGCCATGTACCCACTCTATATTACTATAACTATTTTTCTTTTTCTTTTTTAAAGATTTTATTTATTTATTTAAGAGAGAAATAGAGCACAAGTGGGGGGAGAGGCAGAGGGAGAGGGAGAAGCAGACTCCCTGCTGAACGGGGAGCCTGATGCAGAACTCTGTTCCAGGACCCTGAGATCATGATCTGAGCCAAAGGCAGACGCTTAACTGACTGAGCCACCCAGGTGCCCCACTATAACTATTTTTCAATTCATGACACTTGAGGCAGAGATGTTAAGTGACTTTCCTAAGGTCACACAGTCAGTAAGAGACAATCCACAAATTTAAACCTATACAGTCTGATTTTGGATACTCTCTGCTACTCATATGTCAGATGTTGTTGGATGGAGTCCTTCTGCCCCTTGAAAATGACCTTTGCCTCCACCAGTCTGTGCCTTTTGGAAGCCCAGAGTCATCCTCAATATCTAAGCAAATTCTCAGAAAGCTGAAGTTCTTATGCTTACCTCTGATGCTGAACTCTTGTTCCTACTAAGTTCCAGTAATAGCTCATTAGCGCATCCTATGTGTGCAGCCTTTGTTCTGTTCTCTTGGCCAAGATGTGGAATTCATCTCCCAGTTGATGTCCATAAAACCCCGTTTTCACAAGGCATTTATGTATTTGGTAAACTTGATTGAAGTCTTCTCTTGTTGTGGCTTCAGGAAGGGGACTGGCAGGAGGAGTTTCCATTGCTGGAACGCACACAACTCCAAACTGTACCTTAGCTTTATAGTTTCTCCAATGGTCTGGGGCCACGCCTGCTACAAATGTTTCACTGGCTGCATCATCTCCAGACTTTCTGGCCTCTGTGTTGATGCTGCTTATAAGCTCTTGCTCTCTGTCTTAACCTGGGTTTCAGAAAGCAGAGCTCAAGGCAAAGACTTCTAGGCTACTTTGTTACAGAGTACAATCCCTAGAATGAGGGCAGTGGGAATGAATCAAGGAACAAGAAAGATACATAAGAGGCATCAAGTGGAAATGATTTCTTCCTCTTGTGGGATTTTCTTTTAAGAAGCTGATCTGTAGGGTGGTTCATCTGAAAGAAGGAGGGAGAAATATCAATTCACTGGCTTCTATCCCCCATTGTTCAAAAGTCTGCCACATAGTATTTCCTTTGGATTTCCAAGTTGCTTGTGCTTCGGCACTAAGTGAATCCTGTGGCATCTCAGGCTTCAGGATTGAAGAAGTCCCAAAGCAGGAGGAGGGTGGTACCCAGTCTGGGTGTAAGGCTGCCAGGCTGTGTGCACAGTTGGCTGGAATCCCTACAGAGGTGATGGCTGCAGCGAAGGCTGTGGCTGGAATCCACGGCCACCTGGAGGCCAGTGACATGGGAGGATTTGAAGTGGTGCGCTAGGGATGTCTAATCCGGTCCACCCCTGTACCTCTTAGGTTTGCATGTGCGCTCCCGATAGATCTGGCTCCCATGCTAGGATATAGGGCCCCCGATGTTGTGAGAACAAGATGTTCTCTTCAAGTGCAAGTCCAGCCAGTCAGAGAGTTCCCTTTCAAGATCATAGCCGACTGAGATCTTCTGGAATATTGTAGGCAGGAGAGTTAGTGAAACACGCTACAATCTCCCAGCTGTAGCCAGTGCCACTTCCCTTCTCCATTGCCCAGTCTAGATTTCTCTTACTTTTGGCCCACACTTTGGATGGTCTGTGCAAGGCCAGCTATCTGGGTTATTTTGGCACTAAGTACACTAGTAAAAGCTGTTTAAAAGGTGGAGCTGGGGTCACATGTACGCGTGGTCCCCCATATGTTTGGGTAGAACTACTACTTCACTTAGTGAGGTGACCTGGACCTTTATCCTTTAAGAATCTGACCTGGGGGTGCCTGGCTGGCTTAGTCGGTTAAGCGTCCAACTCTTGGTTTTGGCTCAGGTCATGATCTCACGGTCGTGAGATTGAGACCTGTGTGGAGCTTGGCGCTTAGTGGGGAGTCTGCTTGGGATTCTCTCTGTCTCTCCCTCTGCCCCTCCCCCTGCTTGTATACAGACGTGCACTCTCTCAAATAAATAAATAAATCTTAAAAAAAAGAATCTGGGTGCCTGGGTGGCTCAGTTGGTTAAGCGACTGCCTTTAGCTCAGGTCATGATCCTGGAGTCCCGGGATCGAGTCCTGCATCGGGCTCCCTGCTCATCAGGGAGTCTGCTTCTCCCTCTGACCCTGCTCTCTCTCATTCTCTCTCTCAAATAAATAAATAAAATCTTAAAAAAAAAAAAAAGAATCTGATCTGTTTGTTGCCTTGATTGTTTCATTTGCCATCAGTATGGAATATGGAGGGACCAAGAAATCCCCAGGAAATTACTTGAGTTCCTCTCTGCCCTCATAAGGTAGCTGCTGTCACACTTACGGAGCCTGGTGGGAAAGGTAGAGTGGAAGTCCTTAAAACTACCTCCCTGTCTCCATCTCCAAGAGTAAAATAGCACCTCCCAGGAAGCAGGGCAGAGACTAGAGCCACTATTAAGATTTCAGTGGGACTGGGGAGGTGAGTCCCATTATATTTCCACTAATTCACTTCCATGGCTCTTTCAGAAGCCACATAGATTGTGATGGGTAATAGTGGATTGCCGCAAACTTGGCCAGATGGTAGCCCCACCTGAAGCTGCCGTGCCAGATGCAGTGTCTTTACTGGAAAACATCAACACGGCCTTTGGCACTTGGGGCACACGTGATCTGGCGAGTGCAGCGCATCCCTGTCGGTGGGGAGAACTGAAAGCAACGTGCTTCCATATGGCAAGGAGAGTACGACATGTTTACTCTTTTGCCCCAGGACGGTGTTAACTCTCCTGTTCTCTGTTACAGTATAGCCCACGGGGACTCTGTCTTCCTGATATGCCACAGGTCATGATGCTAGTCCCCTCCGTCGATGGCATCATGCTAACTGCACCTAGGGATGTGACAACCACCTAGATTCTGTTATGACACACGAGGGTGAGAGAGTGAGAGGTAGGCTCTGCCCCACCTTACCCTAGGTTCTCAGGCAGCAGTTATTGGTGTAGCTCTGGCATTAGGGAGTACAGTCCCAGGAAGCAGAGGTGAAGGAAAGGGGAGTGAGGCGGGGAAGGAGGAGGAGCCCATGCGATGCATTAGATGACAGGCATCGGTCTCGTGGGACCGTCTTCTGAGATGCTTTGTACTCGGCTTTCTTGGGACAGCGCATCTGGGAGAAGTGGGGAGAAGCACGTACCTGGTGGCTTCCACTGGCGAAAAGTTGGCTTCCCAGGGAGTTATTTGCACATCACTTCCAGGTTGCTTGTGCTGAGTGGATCACGCAGTGTGGCCGCATCCACAGGGAGCCCTGGGGCAGGAAGCCAGAGGTGTTCCACATGAGCATGGCGCACGGGGGACAAGGGACTCTGGGTGCCTCTACACATTCCTACCAAGTGGGAGAGGGAGCCGACTGCCAGTCGTTGGTTAAGAGCTGCTGGGTCAGCGGCAGTCCCCCAGGTCCCTGTGGGCAGAGCAGCCTCCGGCGGCCAGAGAAAGTGCTCAGGGAAAGGGAAGCAGGGGGGCAGTTGGAAGCCTTTGCCAATAACACATATGAATGACAAAGGCAGAGGGTTCAAGCACCAGACACAGAGTGGCACTGAAGAGCGTCTGACACACTCCCCCTTCTCGTCCTCTTCCCTTCAGGATCGTCAGATTTTCAAATTCATCTTTTTCTTTTATGCAGCCCTCGGTTCCCCTTTTGCACATCTGAACACATCAAGGTGGTCATCGGAACCAGGCTCCTCGCTGGAAAGCAGGTGGGGGCTTAAACGGTCATTGTTTTCTCTGGGTCACCCAAAAAGTAGCCCTCTTTGGTTATTCTAGTAAACTCTTTTCTAGTCAGCTATCTAAGTTTATTCCCCTTTTTCTGCCCATGGAACCAGATGAGGATGAAAGCTTTGGGTGCCTGTGGGAACTCTGTCACCACAAGTCCCCAGGGGAGGTATTATCTCTGCGTCCCGAAGAAGCAGGTTTGGGAAGACGTGTGCCATGAGGTTGGTAACTTCTTCCCAAACCAAAGTTTGGGATGCTTTTCACTGATTTTTGTATCCCTTCCAGCTGCTGGAGACAGTCTGGAGAATGTTTTTAGAGACTGTGTTTTCTGGGACACTTGGGTGGATTATGGGAAAATGGAACAGCACATTAATTTATCTGAGTCCTGGAAGAGCCAGAACATAAGATCCCCACGTCTCCACATGTCCTAATCTCTCAGATTGTATTGAAGCTGTGGTAAACAATTTAAGACCTGCTTGGGTATGACATGAGGCTTCCTCTTGGCTATTTCTACCACTTCATATTGAATGGAAGGAAATCACTGAAACCCTCAAAACAGTCTGGCAGGAGGCGAAATGCCTGGCTTGGCGTCCTGCCCCCATCCCTCCCACACCTGCCCCTGGGACCATTTGGATACCCTGCACCCTCCCTGTCTTCCATCAGGCTGAGCTCACAGTTCCCACCTCTGGGCCCAACTCCAGAATGAGAGCCCTACTACAGCCCTACATGGCCTGGTTTCCCAGGTGAAGCAGGTACAAAATTAACAATATTCACATGCATTTGTTTCCAGGCATTTGTACAGAAGAAATGTGCTTTGGGGTCTTTCATCTTTAGGTTCCAGTGAACTGGATATTATCTGATATGTATACAGAAGCAGCAAAATATGGAATGTGCACACAGGATCCCCCTGCCAGAGTAGTAAAGGAACCTGCTGCCTTAAGCCTACAGATCTTCCTCTACTTACAATGGGGTTAAGTCCTAATAAACCCATGGTCCGTTGAAAATATCCTAAGTCGAAAATGCATTTAATGCATCTAACCTACAGAACGTTGTAGCTTAGCCTCACCTTCCTTAAATGTGCTCAGAACACTTACATTAGCCTACAGTTGGGCAAAATCTCCTAACACAAAGCCTATTTTATGATAAAGCATTGAATATTGCATGTAACTTAGTGAATACTTACTGAAAGTGAAAAACAGAACAGTTGTATGGGTACAAATTATTGTAAGTGTATGGGTTGTTTACCCTCATGATTGGGTGGCTGACGGGGGCTGCAGCTAGTCGCTGCTGCCCCACTCAAGAGAGAGGATCATCCTGCATACACCTAGCCCACAAAACAATCAATTTCAAAATCTGAAGTACAGTTTCTATTGTACTGACTACATATTGCTTTCATACCATTGTAGAGTCGAAGTCATAAGTCAAACCGTCCTAAGTCTGAGATCATCTGTATGTACCTTGAATTATAAATGGGACCCCAGTTAAAGCCCACCAGGCAAAATGCAGCCATGCCTTCATCCTTCTGGCTGGTACATAACTGAGGTGGACAAGGCTTATTTCACAATAGCATCTCAGTTTTCTTTTCTTTTTTTTCAAGGTAGATATACTTTATATATTAAGCATGCAGAATGTTCTTCCACATCTTTCTTGAAACCTGACTATATCTAGACATCTTTTTATTTTTTACCCATTTTAAACAAAGACATGAGCACTCAATCTATTCCACTTTTCTCTCTGCCTTTCTTCTTCTTTTTTTTAAGAGGGGGAGGGGTGGGGAGGGGCAGTGGGAGAAGGAGAGAGAGAATCTTAAGTAGACTCCATGCCCAGCATATACCCTGATGTGAGGCTCCATCTCACAACCCTGTGATCATGACCTGAGCCGAAATCAAGAGTTGGATGCTTAACCAATTGAGCCACCCAGTCACTCCCCACTTTTCTCTTTTTTATAAGAAAGACAAAGTGTGTGTAATGGCAAATGATTCATAGCCTTGGGGTTGAGGAACAATAGGGAGTAGTGGGACTGTGGCAAAGTGGAGAGCACAGCCTTAACTGAAGGCAACAGCTCCTTTTCAATGCCAGTCAACTGTTGGCACAGGGAATGCGGCCCCATGTTGCCAGGTTTTCCAAAAATTTAAAAAGAATCCAGAAATCTAGACTTTAATGTAAAATCACTTAATTGTCCAATATTGCTAACAAATTTAATTTTGTGCTTGTCACCAGACAAGTCAAACAAAACATACCTGTAGGCCAAATTGAGCCAATGGCCACCAGTTCACAACCTCTGGTTTTAACAGTCAAATAGAACCACAGACCTATCAGACAATTGTAGTTGATATGGCTCTTTCTGAGCAGTGTAGAAATATATTCTAAGTTTGAGTTCTTTTTTTTTTTTTTTAAAGATTTTATTTATTTATTTGACAGAGAGAGAGATAGCGAGAACAGGAACACAAGCAGGGGGAGTGGGAGAGCGAGAAGCAGGCTTCCTGCAGAGCAGGGAGCCCGATGTGGGACTCGATCCCAGGACCTGGGATCATGACCTGAGCCGAAGGCAGACGCTTAACGACTGAGCCACCCAGGCACCCTCTAAGTTTGAGTTCTAAGGAGGTCAATTATATCTCCAGTTGATGTGATACTTTATAAGCAATAGAGAAATAGAGAACTAAGAAAGCAAATTCCCTATGGTTAGTAATTCATACTAAAATAAAGTATTCCAGCACAGAATGGCTGCTAGTGGGAGAGAATTCATATTCACAGAGAATACGAACAGATGAAGAAAGAAGCCTGAAGCAGACGATTTTGTTAGAATGTACTTTGCCTTGTGTGTTAATTCCACATGGGGCCATCCTAGCTCTAGAGCTGCTTTTGCTGCTGATGCCTCAGCCTCCTGAGGGCTGGGCTTGGGGTGTCGTCTCTCTTGCAGTCATGCCCCTTGCCAGAATCTCACCACCATCAACTATAGAAGTTAACATCCAGATGAGCATTATCTTGCACCAGACACTCTGATAAATGCTGTGTATCTCAGAAACATCCTCATCCTCCCAACAACTTTGTCATCTTCATTTTACAGATTTGCCCACATTTCATATAGCTCATTAGTAACTGAGCCAGGATTCACCAGGCAGCATGATCCCAGAGCCCCAGTTCATAATTCCTACCTTCTCTGGGACCTCTTGTTTGTTAAGGGGTCTGTCTCTCTTGTGACAGGGAATTCACCACCTTTAAGGATCTTCTGCAACATTTGAAGACCTTACCCATTCTCTCCTCTTACGCGTCTTCCTCCTTGGCTCTTGGACTTGTCAATCTTTCACTTACTGGATAGTTGACTTGGTAAATTACATGGCCTTTCTGAGCCTCAGTTTCTCCATCAGTAAAATGGGGACAGGAGGGAGATGGCTGGATCAGATTTCTCAGCCTCTATCCACTGTAAATGTTCCAGGATTCCAAATGCTCAGGAAATACCAATGACTTCAAGGCCACATGCATACCCATCAATTGGCATGTCATCGAAGGTCTTGTCTCTGTAGTGTTACCCTGCCCACCATTCCACTCTCCAACCCAGGAAGTCTTTATCCATTTGCTGCTTGAGTGTGCATCTCTAGGAGTACTGCCCTCCCCTCCCTCCTCCAAACCCCCCACAAACTCTCCTCAGACCCAGGGGCTGGATGAAGTTCACTTTCATCTTGAAGCCTCTCCTGCCTTCTGCAGGCCATGCTGCTCTCTTCCAGTTCTGAAGGCTGTTCACATGAATCCCAGCTATGTACAGATCCCGGAAACTCAGCCCTTTACAGGGGACAGAGCACCGTGGTGTGCAAGTTTTCTTATCGACAGACTCACAGTCACTCGCCCACCTCAGGACCATCATGTCCACTATACAGATGAAGAAATTAAAAAACCAGAAAATGGTAGGATTTGCTCAACTTTACTCTGTAGCCCAGGCCAGAACTGGATTGGAAACCCAGCTCCTGACCACAGGCTGGAGCTCCCTTCAGAGTCCTCACTGGCCGGGCAAGCATTAACCCTTCCGTGCCAGGGTGCTGCGTGTCTCCAGTGGGTCTAACCGCCTTGTCCTTGGGCCCGTAGTGTGACTGAGTGGTGAAGAGTATGGATGCCGGCACCTGTCCCGCATAGGCTGGGCATGTTTTAAACCTCGGCTTCCTCATGTGTGAAATGAAGGTCTTTGCAGCCCTTCCTTTCCAGGGCTGTGGTAGGGATTGAGCGAGATAACAGAGGTATAGGTACCCCTGTTTTTCAAAAGTTCACATTTTGCCGCTTTGCTTTTATGAAGGACCTATGGGAATACCTGTTTTCCATAACTGAAAGAAATCCGAAGAGGATTTTCACTTTTGCTGAGAAAAGGGGCAATGTGGAAACAGCGCTCCGTGTTTTGTGGGCAAGTGGTTATAGATGCGGCAGGGACCCCAAGCAGTGGGATCGGCCCCCACAAGCATCTCTGCATCAAGCTGCCCCTGCTTTGGACTGTGTCTGTGAGCATCTGTGCTTTATCTCCATTTATTTTGGGTATCGCTAGTAAGAAGTGTCATAAAGTATCAGAAAAGCCCAAGAGGGGTTATTTTGGGGGTCTGGGAACTCTCGAACATTTTTCCATATAAATTAATGGTAATTGCTTCTTCACTTTACACCATTTGGGCTCATCAAAGATTTTATAGGAACGCTCTACTTTCCGACCTTGGGGGGAACCTGTAAAGCATTTATTTAGCACAGGGCCTGGGAAATAATCGGCACTCAATAAATGTTAGCTACCATGTCCATCCCCATCCCATCTCTGGGGGCCTAACTGAAATTACTAGAAAGGAAAACCAGGAACTGAGTACAGTGCCATAGCCCATGGTGGCCCCTTGGTGCATCAGGAAGAGAGGCCCCTGGGGTTTGCCAAACTTCAGAACTGTGCAGGTCTCCGCGGACCTCTGTGGTGCCTCCTTGCACCCCCAAATCTTGCTCTGCTGTGCCTGCTGGTAACAGTAACAGAAAGTCATTTGAGGGTTTAGCCAATGCCAGGCCCTGTGCTAAGCTCAGTACACACACCAGGGATGGCTTTTGGAGGCTGATCCTGGTTCACCTCTCCCGCATCATCACAGTGCCTGAAGTGGTCTCACCTGAGACTGTGCTCCTTCATTCACCCAGTGTTTATTGGCATTTCCTACCACCGTGTACTATTGTAGCCAGATAACAAAACAAATATACTCTCGCCCTCCTGAAACTTACATTCCCCGGCAGGGGGTGGAGGGGGCAGCAGGCAAGTTATAGCGCGAGGAAAACCTTGGCAGTATTAGATACATTTAACTTTTTTATTAGGATGATCTTTGCCGCATGTGCTTGTATATATCACTGTACCCCTCAAAACGGGGCCACTTCTGTGGGGTTCGAGTGTCAGGCGTGCAGGGCAGGCACAGCAGTCAGGAACTCAGCCCCGCTGTGTGCTCTTGGACATTCGCTCCATCTCCCTGAACCTCAGTTTGTTCATCCGTCATTTAAGGAAATCACAGCGACTCCGGCCTCCCCGGGCTGCTGAGAGAATTCCACTGGCCCATGAAAGGAGACTTCGTCTGCGGGACAGCCGCGACTGGGACAGACGTTAGGGCGGGAGGGAGCCGCGTCCCGCTTACCCAGAGGAGCGCGGGCGCGGGGCTTTTCTCGAAGGTTACATAAGGCAGACCCGGGTGGCGGCCACGGCTCGGGAGCGCGCGTCCGTCGAGGGGGGAAAGGGGCGTGGGGACGGCAGCGGCGGCGGGGACCCCCGGGGCGTGAGTGCGGCGCCGCTGGCCGAGGTGGGCGCGGCGCGGCGCGCGGGTGAGCGCAGGGCGCGGCGGAGTCGGGTTTCAGAGCGCGGGTGACTCAGGGGAGCCGCGAGGCTGCCCGCCGCCGCCACTGCCCAGCGCCGCCTTTGTTCGCCGCAGGAAGGGCGAGCGGCGGCCCTAGCGCAGCCGGGCGCACAGTGCCTTCGAGGGCTCGGCAGGCCTGCGAGATGGCGCCAAGGTAGGACTCGCTTGCCCGCGCCCCGGCCCCTCGGCCCTCCCGCCCGCCTCACCTTCTCGCCCCCCGCCACTTCTTGCAGGAGGAACGCGCGCTGCTGGCGCCTGCTGTGGCTGCTTTCGGTCTCCTCGCTTCTCCCCGCTGTCACCCGGACCCGCTCCGCGACAGGTAAGCGACCCGGCCCGAGGGTGGCATCGGCTGCCTCCGCGCCGCGGGGAAGTTGGTTTGGCGGCTGGCGTGCCTGCGGTGCGCTCCTCATTCCTGGACATAAAAGGGAGTCCTCCCGCTCCGTGCGCACTGGCGGTCCCGCCGCTTCCCCCGGCTGGTGCAGGGCATGTGAGGGGCGAACGGGAGTCCCTGACCCGCCGGGCGGGTGGCGCGCCGTCTGGGCACTGTGGAGCGAGGCGCGGCCCCTCGGATCGTGGGCACAGAGGGGCTTTGGAAGCCCAGTGACAGCGCCAGCGGCTCCGCGGGGACAGTTAGCTCCAGCTCACCCAGCGCCGTGCGCAGGGCGTGCATGTTGGCTGGTTCATTGTAAGGGCAGGTCTGGTGCCCTCTCTGTACACAGGTGCGGGAGCGTGACCACCGGCAGGGACACCTGGCACCTTTGCCGCACAAGAAATAACGGGACTGCATTACTCGATGCCTAACAGTCCTGAGTTACCTAGGGGAGTCCCATCCATCGTGGGCAGTGGCGCCATGGGTGATGAGAAGAGCTAGGGGTGCGGAGCCAGGGGATCTGATCTTTTCTGTTCCCTGAGCCTCAGTTTCCCCACCAGAACCCAGAGGCAGGGGGATGACTAGTAGGGTCTGAGTTAAAATAGATTTTGGTTAAGGTGTGTGTTCAGGCTGCCTGGGCTTGAATTGTTGGCTGAGTTAGGTGACCCAACTCAGGACAATGAATTTCACCTCTCTGTGCCTCAGTTTCCCAAAAACGGGAATAATTAGACCACCTTTCCTCCTAGGGATGCTGTGACGATTAAAAGAGGTATTAGAAATAATAGGCTTTCCACACTGTGGCCTGTACTAGGCACAAAGTAAGTGGTAGAACTTTTGGGTTGATCCTTCAAATAGCTGTGTGAGCAAGCGATGCAAGCAGTTGACAGGACACTGAGGATGAGAGAGGCTTAGGAAGTGGCCTGTCCCAAAGGCAGGACTTGAGCCCAGATCCCTGGGCTCCCAACCTTCCTCCCTCAGCTCTTTCTCCTTGCCGTGTTGCAGAACTCTGTTGGCCCAACAGTAGCCTCCCACCCCTTTTGGATTTAGAAAATCAGTACTTAGCCTCAATAGAGTGTGTGAGAAGGGGGAACATCATCTGTCCCTTTGAAGGAAACTGACGATTGAGGGTGGCCTGGGTTAACTCTTTGTGTGCCAGAGGAAGCCTTGGACAGCCTAGACCATTGTCTCCTTGGGAACAAGACCCAAACTCAAAGGCCACTTTTTCCTGCCAGAGCCTCCAGCCTGGCATTTCTTGCAGATCAAAGGGCAGCTGGGGCCCAGTTTTGGCTTCTCAGCACCACGGCCCATGTCGAAATGTTGCAGTTTTGCATGTGATAGAGGGTTCTGCCAGCACAGCGGCAGAGGGCAGCTTCATGTTTCGTGGTCTTTCGTGAATTTTGCCATAACCCCCACCTCCCAAAAGGAAGAAGATTCTGGAGAAAGAGACCTTGGTATTTCTTTCTTCTCCTGTGTTTGAAGGCTGGACCCCTTGATGTCAAGTCAGTTGTCAGAAACAACACAGAGGAAGTCCTGTTCCCATCCATAACGTAAAAAGGGAGTGCCAGGAAACCCTCAGGAGCTGAAAAGGGCAACGAAAGAGCCACTTGCAACTGATGGGTATTCAGAGTCCCTCTGGGCCTCTGCAGAGACTCTTCCTAGGCCTGTGAAATATCCTCCTGCAAACCAAATTTTGCATGCAGTTTAATCAGGCTAACACTTATAAACAATGATGCTTTCAGGCAGAGGTGTGAGCAGGTCTGGGTTACCTTCATCCAGTCCTCAAAATCACTCCAGGAGGCAGGGACTGGGACTGCTATTATCTCTGTGCTTTAATAAGGAAACCAAGGCCCAGTGTCTCAAGGCTTCTCAGCTCCTGAGGTTTTCCTGGCCTGCCCTGTTTAAAGAGACCCTTGTCAATGGGACCGTGTCCTCCACACTGATCCTTGTGCCCCTAACACATCATGGCCGAGCCAGTAAAGTTACAGTGCCATTGGAGGGGCGCCTGGGTGGCTCAGTTGTTAAGCGTCTGCCTTCGGCTCAGGTCATGATCCCAGGGTCCTGGGATCGAGCCCCACATCGAGCCCCACATCGAGCCCCACATCGGGCTCCCTGCTCGGCGGGAAGCTTGCTTCTCCCTCTCCCACTCCCCCTGCTTGTGTTCCCTCTCTCGCTGTGTCTCTCTCTGTCAAATAAATAAAATATTAAAAAAAAAAAAAGTTACAGTGCCATTGGAATACCTGCTATTTTAGCAGATAGGCGGGGGCAGTGGTTCTACAAGTAATTTGTTCCTGCTAATAAAATCCTTATACGTGCAAATTACTTACTTTTCTTTAAACTGTTTTACCATGAAATATAACCTCCATGCAGAGAAATGCACACAGGAAGTACAGCCCACTGATTTATCATGGAGCAAACATCCATATAACCCAGGTCAAGAAATAGGATAGCCCCAGAAGCTCTCTTGTGCCCCTTGGCTGTGATTATTCCCTCCCTGCCCTCAGAGGTCACCATCACCTTGACTTTTATGGTGACTGCTTCCTTACTTTTTAGAAATAACTTTAGTACCTGAGCATGTATCCCCAATTTCTACAGTTCCACTTGACTTGAGTTTGAACTTTACACATGGCGTCTTTCACTGAATATTAAGCTCTGAGATTCATTTATGCTGTTGTATGTGGCCATAGTGAATTTATCTTTGTCGCTGTGTAATTTCCCACTGGTATTAATATGCTGTACATTATCTGTCCATTTTTCTCCAACAACATTTGGGGCATTTCCATTTTGGCAGAGACAGCAGTGTGTTTCTAAACATTCTCGTACATGTGCCTGATGCACAGGGGTGCGCATTGCTGTTGCTTCCATATCTAGGGGTGGAGTGCTGGAGAATGGCGTATGTAGCTCCTCCAGCTGAACAGACAGTGCCCGCCCATCTTACACAATGGTTGTACCGAGGCACACGGTCGCCAGCCGGGTATAAGAGCTCCCCCGTCTTCAAATCCCCGCCAGCACTTGGTCTTGTCACTGGGCTGAATTTCAGCCCTTCTGAGGAGTACATAGTAGAATCTTAATGTAGTCTTAACTTATGTTTTCCTGATTATTAAGTTGATTGTCTTTTCATATATTTATTGGATCTCTGGTTATCCTGGTTGACTCTTTTTTTTTAACTGAGGTGAAATTCACATAACATGAAACTAGCCACTTTCATGTGTACCATTCGGTGGCAGTTCATACGTTAATATTGTTGTACAGCTGTTTCCTCTGTCTAGTTGCAAAACATGTTCATCACTCCAAAGAGTGAAAAGCCTTATTTCTATTAAGTGGTCACTCGCCATTACCCCCATGCTCACCCCACCAGCCCTTGGCAACCACTGATCTGCTTTCTGTCTCTATGGTTTTGCCTATTCTGACTATTTCATATAAATGGCATCATATAACCTGTGTCTTCTGTGTCTGGCTTCTTTCACTTAGCATAATATTATTGAGAGTCATCCATGTTGTAGCATGTGTCAGGACTTCATTGCTTTTTATGGCTGTGTAATATTCTACTGCGTGGATAGAACACAATTCATTTATCCATTCTTCCATTGATGGGGACATTTGGGTTGTTTCCTCCTTTTAGCTATCATGAATAGTGCTGTTATGAACATTTGTGTACAGGAATTTGAGTACTTGTTTTAATTATTTTGGGTCTATACCTAGTAGAACTGCTGGGTCCTGTGGTCATTCCATGCTTCGGTTTTGTAGAAATTCCCAAACTCTTTTCCACAATGGCTGTCCCATTCCACAGTCCCACCAGCAGTGAGCAAAGCTCTGATTTTTCCACATCCCTGTCAACACTTCTTATTTTCCATGTTTAAAATACAGTTATCTTAGTGGGTGTGAAGTGGTCCCTCCTTGTTGTTTTGATTTGTGTTTCCCTAATGACTAATGACGTTGAGCATCTTTTCACGGGTTTGTTGGCCATCTGCAGATCTTCTTTAGAGACAAATCTGAATGCTCATCAGAGCCAGTTTGGGATTTTCCTCTAACCATCTCACTCTCGCTCATGTCCGTCTGATGTGCTTTCCTGAAGGGAGAGGTGTGGGGAGGAGTCACACCTGAGATTTCCAGTCTCTGGCCTCTTGCCTCCATGGTCCGTACTGAGCTACTGTTGCTCACGTACTATTAGAAGTTGTGTTGAAGATAAGTGATTGTAGTGTTTGAATTACTGGGTAAACTTTTCGGTTTTGTAGAAGGTGGGGAATGCCCTTGGGGGCATCCCGTGCTGTCTGTGTGTGTGTGTTTTTTTTTTTTTTTTAAAGATTTTATTTATTTATTTGAGAGAGAGAATGAGATAGAGCATGAGAGGGAGGAGGGCCAGAGGGAGAAGCAGACTCCCCGCCGAGCAGGGAGCCCAATGCGGGACTCGATCCCAGGACTGCAGGATCATGACCCGAGCCGAAGGCAGTCGCTTAACCAACTGAGCCACCCAGGCGCCCTGTCTGTGTGTTTTATGGCAGAGCGTGAGCTGTAAACTGGCACATGGAGCCACTCACAGCTTCCCATGACAAGTTGGGATTTTGTAGTTTCTTTGACTTTGCACAAGATGTGAACTCATCGCCCCCTCTAGAGCACACTGCCTTGCCCTGTGTTTCTCTTTAAGGCCTAATGCTACCTCCCAGCTTACATGGTAGAGGCATCTCTCCAGACGAGCTTTCTCACCACTGAATTCCCCATGACCTTCATCTGTCTCTCCCGGCACCAGCCACTGTCCCCCCTCTAGTGTCAGTATGTTTATTTGTCTCTCTTTTCCGTGGGAGCACTTTGAGAGTGTGGGTCATGCCTTGCTTGTCCAGAGTTAGCCACTTGGACTTCAGCTGTTTTGTCATTATTATGAACGGTGCTGCTGGGACCATCTTCTGACAAATGGCCTTTGTTTTCCTTTTGTATTTTTTTTTTTTTCCTAGATTACCCAAAACAGAACAGACTTGCC